AAACTACTTGAAATGCACCGGGAATAATACAATATTTCCTCCAATTAAACATGGGGATTTAGTATACGATGATCTTGATGATATCGTAACAATTATGAATAATTACTTCTGCCTTCAGGCTACTGTAAAAAGTCCTGACCAAAACCTACCAGAATTAATGATAAAAACGGATCAGAGATTATCCTCCATCACATTGAGCTCCAATGAAGTTAAAGATATTTTACTTACTGTTGATGTCACTAAAGCAACCGGGCATGACGGTATCGGTAATCGAGTATTAAAACTCAGCGCTCTGGTAATATCCGACCCATTATCTAAATTGTTAAATTCCTCTCTTAATAACTCAGTATTTCCAGACATTTGGAAAATGGCTTCAGTAATACCAATTCATAAGAAAGGTAGTATAAATGAATGTAACAACTACAGACCTGTAGCACAAACTAGTTGTTTAGCCAAAGTATTTGAAAAATGTGTTTTTAAACATGTATTTAATTATCTCAGAGACAATAACTTACTAACAAATCTTCAGTCCGGGTTTACCCCTGGAAATTCACCATCTTACCAATTGACTTACCTTTATGATTTTATTGCTAAAGAATTAGATAAAGGGAAGGAAATAAGAGCAGTTTTTGCGACATAAGCAAAGCATTCGATAAAGTATGGCACAGAGGAATCATTCAGAAATTGAAAGCTTACGGTATTGGTGGCAAACTTCTTTTATGGTTTAAAAGTTACCTCGACGATAGAAAGACAGCGTGTCGTAATCAACGGCTTCAGTTCCGAATTAAAACCAGTTACAGCTGGCGTACCACAAGGTTCCGTCTTAGGACCGCTATTATTCTTAGTTTATATCAACGATATTGTAGATGGCATTGACAGTAATATACGTCTGTTTGCTGATGACACTTCGCTCTATGTAGTATAAACGATCCAAATGTAGCAGCACAATGTCTGAATAATGATTTATCTGTAATATCAAATGGCAAGTTGATTTTAATCCAAATAAAACGGTCTCTATTCAATTTACCCGTAAACACATTCAGAATATCAAACCAGTCTTATCGATGGATAACACTAACATAAACGACGTCACATCTCACAAACATTTGGGAATAGTTCTTCAACAAGATTGTATGTGGCATAGTCACATTGAGGTGAGGTGAAATGGGGTTTAACGTCGTGCTTGAGAATATTTCGCTCATATGACGACGTGCATGCATGTGTATGTGTATGTGCGGCTGCTTGTACTAGCCCAGACTTAAGCTGGTTTTATAGTGCTAGCCCACTGAGGTACCACGCCGCAGTGAAGCATGAATACCCCACTCAGACACATTATACTGACTCCGAGCCGACCAGTCCTTGTTGTACCCATTAATGCCGAACGCCAGGCAGGGACCAACAAGAACCATATTTTAACGTCTTTTGGTATGACGCGGTCGGGGATCGAACCCGCGACCTTCCGCTCTCTGGGAGGACGCTCTAACCAGTACACCACGGAGGCGGTCTGAAAATGTCATAAAAAAAATAAAAGTCAGTCCAATGATAAACTGCCTAAGAAGTTCTAAATATCGCTTCAACAGGAAAACGCTGCTGACAATGTACAAATCATTTATTTTACCAATATTTGACTACGGGTGTCATGTATGGGATAATTGCACTAAAGAGCAAACGCTTCTTCTAGAGAAATTAAATCTAGACGCTATCAGAACTATCTGCGGAGCTGTTCGCTGCACAAGTCATAACAAACTATATTCTGAGACAAATATTTCCTCACTTGAAACTAGAAGACGCCGTCAAAAATTATACATATTTTACAAAATGGTTCACAAACTAGTTCCAGATTATTTCTCTAGTTTAGTTCCAGAAAATGTATCATATGTAAGTGGATATAATTTGAGAAATAATTCTGACCTACAAAATATTAAATGCAACACTAGTTTGTACTCCAGGTCATTTATCCCTAACACGGTAAACATCTGAAACTCTCTCCCTCCTGATATCGTAAACGCCAATACTCTTGGGGAATTCAAAAACAAACTAAAAGAACACAACACCAGTGAAATCTACTTTAATCTTTCCCATGGTTCAAGATCTGGCCAGATAATCAACTCCCGACTTCGGCTAGGGTGTAGCGAATTAAATGGAGATAAGTTTTCCAGACATATATCCGATAGTCCTGAATGTAACTGCGGGCATCACACCGAAGATGCGCTTCATTTCTTCCTCATCTGTCCCATATTTAACGACATAAGATCTAATGCATACTTCTTTAGTAGAGGATTTAATTTGACATCAGTCTTATTCGGTCATTCGGGCTCATCAGAACAGGTAAACCTGGAACTACTAAAATCGGTACATAACTACATCATATCTTCCCGGAGATTCTCGCAATTTATCTAACTTAGTTTTATTGTACATGCCGTGCCTTGCTGTTATACTGAGATCACAACAGCTTCTAGTTTATTTGCCTTCAACGAAAGTTTGCAGATTGTAACACATTATATCGCCAATATTGTTCCTTGAAGATTCACATTATGTTTTGCACCCAGCTCATGTGTACGTCACTATCATTATTGTTATTAAACCGCCTCCGTCGTGTAGTGGTTAGAGCGTCCGCCCGGAGAGCGAAAGGTCGCGGGTTCGATCCCCGACAGCGTCATACCAATAGACGTTAAAATATGGTACTTGTTGGTCCCTGCCTGGCGCTCGGCATTAATGGGTACAACAAGGACTGGTCGGCTCGGAGTCGGTATAATGTGTCTGAGTGGGGTATTCATGCTTCACTGCGGCATGGTATCTCAGTGGGCTAGCACTATAAAACCAGCTAGTACAAGCAGCCGCACATACCCATACACGCGCATGCACGTCGTCATATGAGCGAAATATTCTCAAGCACGACGTTAAACCCAATTTCACCTCACCTATTGTTAATACTACTGTATCATTGTTAGGGAGCGGTATTGATATAAGCATGTTTTATTGCTTGTTTGCCAATCCCATCATGAGTAAATGAATAAATATGTTTAAACCATTCGCTGGCGTTACTAGTGACGTTGAAAAACTGTCTCGTATTTTGGCCTGTTCTCATCTCTTGTCAGTATGTTCAAGCGGAGGTCCAACACTATCAAAGAAAAAACTTGATGTTGTGAAGAGGGTAAAGCTTGAGCATGGGGCGGTATGTTCTCATTTCGCCTACATCCCATTTCGCCTACAGTCTTAAAACAACATGTCATGGTCTGTTGACTGTTGATTACAGCTGCTCCATGATCGATCTGTCTGCGTGCCAGTCTGTTCGCTGTTTCCAATTTCTCTAGCAATGACGAATTCATATATGTTCAGGTGATGCTTTCTGACGAGTTTCTTGAAGCCGTTGTGAAAACCCTCCAAATGATTGACACCGACAGTTGTAAGCACAATAATTGATTAATTGGGATGCACAGTAACAATGTGATGACAAGGGATTACATGATAGAAGCCAGTGGGGTTTACGGACATGTTTGTGTAAGTTCGTACAACCAGTTAGGTTTGGTTGCTGAGTTAAGTGAGTAAACAGTCTGATATATGTGTCACGGGATTTGCTGGGAAGTAGGGAAAAGGCAGCTGGATACATCTGGTCCTACATGTACAAGGCAGTGCAAAACATACACTTGGGTCCAGAGACTAGGGCACACATAACATGTTCCATCCATGTACACAGTTTCGGCCACAGCAAGGATATCCATCATCTCTGCGGTTGTGAAGATTAGAATCCTGTTGTCATCACCGTCCACTACCACCGGGAACTGCCGGCCGTCTGAAGTCTCTGTCTTAAAAGCTTAAATTTTGTCTCTATTTGTTTGTAATTATTTTAAAAACACAATCATGCGCAAGTCTTGAGGTTGTCACTTGTGACAACAGATCTTATCCTCTTTACGCAACTACATATCCTTATAACAACTTAGTATTTCACAGTGATTAAATTAACTACATCTCATCGTCGCATGCGGGGCGGTGGGGTAGCTTAACGGTTAAAGCGTTGGCTCCTCACGCCGAAGATCCGGGTTCGAATCCCCACATGGGCACAATGTGTGAAGCCCATTTCTGGTGTCCCCTGCCGTGATGTTACGGGAATATTGCTAAAAGCGGCGTAAAACCAAACTCAGTCAGTCAGTCATCATCGCATGCATTAATCCCTGTCATTTTATTTTAACCCTGTTTTAACTTCTCAGTGGGTGCACTAATCCTGTTTACTCAACTACATATCCTTATAACAACAGTCGATCAAGACTCAGTGAGTCAGGTTCATTATAAGAGTAGGGGTGCATTCTCTAATCATTGCTTTTGTAGGCGAATGGAGATGTAGGCAAATTGACATGTAGGCGAATAGAGACTAAACCCATGGGGCTAATCTGACCTCTGCATCAAGGAGTCTGGGAATTGATAGGAAACAGCTTAGAGAATGGTCTAAAACGAGTCAAAATGTGTGGAGTCGGCACAGTGGCCAAAGAGATTTCTTGGCGCAGGGCGTAAACCAGCACTCCCTGAACTGAAACAATGTCTGTATGCGTGGTTCAAGGAACAGGGAAAGGAGAGAATGATCGTAAACTATAAGAGAATTCGGAAACAAGCTCTCCGACTTGAACGTGAACTTGAACTTGGCACCAGTTCGATTAGTTTTAGTGACAAGTGGATTTATAATATCTGTCAACGCCACATCATTAAAAGCAGACGTGTCACACATCAGGGTCAGCAACCGAGATCATGTTGTTATCAAGACAATCATACAGGATCACCTTCGCGGCGTAGAAAGGTTTAGGTTGGGTTACGATGCTGCTCATATCCTCAACATGGATGAAACGCCCTGCTATATAGACATGACGACAGGAACAACGATGGATTTCATTGGCAACAAAAATCGTGGATGCTGTCGATTCTGGCAGAGACAAGCATCTGTTTACAATCATACTTTATATTAGAGTTTGTATGCGTTCCGTTTCATTTCATAGTCATTGCAATATTCGTGAATATTTCCTTCACTTATTGCCTTATGATTTTTTATTCCATATGATTGTCACTGTAAAACAAAATCCGAATAGAAGCCCATGTTTCCGAATATACGCCCGGGCTTCTATTTGGTGTCAAAGTTCACTTGTCAAAATCCCTATTTTCTGTATAGAAGCCCAGGGCTTGCTTTCGAAAACCAGGTACACTCAGGAATCTCAGCACACCCAGGTCACATGTTATCCCAGGGCACTCAGTACACATAGATCACATGGTACTCCCAGGGTACTCAGTACACATAGATCACATGGTACTCCCAGGGTACTCAGTACACCAATGTCATATAGTACTCTCAGCACACCCAGCGCATGGAACCAGCAAAGCTCCTCAACATACAGATGTTATAACATTAGGTCCAACCAAGCACAGAGATGTTTTAACATACAGGTGCCACCACACACAGATGCTATAACGTACAGGTCCGACTATGTGCTGTTCTAACATACAGGTACCACCACACACAGACAAATTATAATATGAAGATCTAAACACACCCCTTGCCAAATATATTATATACAGGTGCATCAATGTACTGTCCTGCTTAACAACTGAAAATGATAAAAATGTTGCCCAAGAATATTTGTTGCAGAAATACTGTAGAACCTATGCAATACAGCCATACATACAGTTGATGTAGAAGTTAAATCTACAGAAACTTCATAAATAACACATTACCATCATAAATATCAAAAACACCGGGAAACCAGCTTCAACTGGAATTAAAATCAGGAATTAACTAATACTGATGACTGGCCAATATGCCAGCAATGACAGTAGTACATTGGAAACACATGCCAGTTAACTCCCTTGTTACCATGATCTCATTGCAGACAATCAGACAGGAACCACTCCCAATATAATAACAGGTGTCTCTCACATTGGCTACTGCAATAACATCACATTTTCCATTGTGTCCTTTACATGCATTAACATGATAACATGATTAGCCTCAGTTTAGGCCTAAAAAAAATGTTATGGTACCGATTACCCAACCGACCCTTGAATTCCGGAGCCGAACCAATTTATTTTTTAAGCGGATTGCATAAAATAAGCTTTCATATACCATTGTTTTTTCATGGCACCAACAGATATCGGTCATTTTGATAGAGAAAGTCGATATGATGGCCGCAAGCTTGATTGAATAAACAATTACACATTGATAAATGTGTTATTATTTGTACTATACTTCTAAAAAAATATGTAAAAAAATAAATTCCGACCCACCTACCCTAAATGTTAAAGAGGTATTTAAAATATGGTATTCCAAGCATAATTTGTACCATTTTAGAACTGAACCAGGTTTTCTGCAAGACAAGCGACCACTCTATCCTTAGGGCCTCTATTCACTGTCAGATATTGTTACCACTACTGATGGAGTTGGATCTGACAAACACTGAACTGCGAAGTCTGAGATTGCCATTGACCCTGAGGAACGCTGAACAGACAGAGACATCATGTCTGATATCTTGCAACCATTTTCCATAGAGATATCATCCACAGTGTCTGGCTGTGTGTGGGGGGCCCCCTGCAACATCAGCTTGAGTTCACTGCCATGCTGCTGCACCTCATGTTCCTTCAGGTGAGACTCATAGCAGAATACTGCACTACATATTCCACATGTCACACCCTGTTGCTTGTGTTCAAACATGATGTGATAATTCAAATCCATCTTGCTCATAAAAGTCTTTCCACATTCGCTACAGATGTAGTTCTGTCCTGAACAGTTGAGAATATGCTCCTGGAATACAATCTTTGACATAAACACTTTGTCACATTTCTCACACTTGTACCATCCACTATGTTGATCAACATGTAGGACATACTTGTGAATATCCTGAAAAACCTCCCCACATTGTTTACAGGCATGAACATTCTTTAACATGTGAACCTGATCATAAGCATGCTGTGAACTTCTGACTTTGTTGTGGTCTGTTGACTGAACCTGTTGAAATGTCTCGTGGTTAATGCGATGCTCGTTATGTTCCCTTTCGGTATCAAACACATCTCCACACACAGTGCACTTGTATACTACTGCAGGAGACAGCTTGCTTGCATGAACCTTCATATGGTCTTCCAGCTCTTTGGCTGTCATGAATGACTGTGGACAGATACTGCATCCGAAAGGCATGGACCCAAAATGAACATGCATGTGTTCTTCCAAGAGAGGTGTAGATCTGAATGCACTTCCACAAAGTCTGCACTGATAGGGACATTCTGTTGGCAGGGCAGATATACCAGTATCATAGGAGCAAGACTTCTCAGCAGATCTACTTCGCCTTTTCCTTAGCCCTATCCTAAGGGATGCAATTTGGGTTTGGGTTGGAGTTCCAATTGTTGAAGGTTTGGGCTTAATCATTCTGAATTTACTGACCTGCTTAGCGGCTGGGACCTGTGAACAACTCCTTTGAATTGGCGGTGAAATGTAACTCCGGTTCAGGAAAGTTGTGGATCTTACTCCAATTGAACTGGTAGGTGTATCCAAGAGTCTAGACATCACTGAATAATTTGCAGGTGGCTCAAATTTCTCTTCGTCATTGACACTATTAAGCATTGACTTTAAAATTGTAACATCCTTCTTCTTGGGTTCCTCTGTAACCTTTGATGCCCCTACACTCTTGATGATGTTGAGCAGCTGCTGGCTACAAGAGTTCACATTCTGACTCAGGCTTTCACTCACGTCTGACTCTTGTAGTCCATCAACATTAGTTCTGCTATGATTAAGGGCCTGAGACAGTGATTCAAACGGCTTAAATTCTGCTGAATTTCTGATATACTTTGAGGCAGAGGCATCCTGTCCAACTGAAGCAGTGTCCTGGTCTTCAACAAGCTGGCTTATGTCCTGATGTTTTCGTTTATGTCTTGTGTTATATGAATGACTAGGACTGCCCAAATCTGAGGAGGATTGAACCTCCATCAGTCCTCGAAGAATCGTGTCCTTATTGTCAGAAGAAGTGGAAGAGAGTCTGCTTAAAGACTGCAGAAATGTTGATGCTGAGATTCCAAAATCTGATCCATTGCCATCCCTTTGCCCATTGGTATCACCATCTGAGGTAACCTCCTTCAAAGCTGGTACCTTTTGACTTACAGTTTGCTCACAATGTGGTCTTCCCTCTTTATGTTTCTGGACATTTTGAAAAACTACATTGTTCATGGACTGACTATGGCTGTACTTGGCTCTTTGTGTTAACATTGACTTTTAATGTGTTATCATCATTCACCAACAGAGAGCGCAAATTTAAGTCAGGAATATCTGAAGACTGTAATTTTGAAACATTCTTTGATACATTTGGTGCAGCATTACAGCTGTTTGTCCAAAGATCTGGTGGTCTTGTTGGTAACGTTGGAGAGACAGGTTCAGACTTCAGCTGCATGCTTTCCAACGTGGTAAGCTCTGCTGATCTTTTAAGACTATCACCTACTGGATGTGAACTGGTATGCTGGTGAAATCCTTCAGACTGCGACTGGATGTCTTCCTTTCTCTCTCTGCTTCCCTCAGTTAAAAGCAGGTCAGGTTCCTTCTTAATTATTATGTTTTGATCATAGGCTGAATTAGATTTTTCACACTCCCTGGATGAAGTTTCTTGTGAAGCTAAGCCGTCACCCTCAGTCCCTGATGTAGGTGACATAGGTTCTGGCTTAATCTGCATTAATGGAATTGTTTTGATCTGTGGATGACTCTCAGCGTCTCCAGATGTATGCCGTGGAGACAAAGGTTCGGTCTTTATCTTGACTGGCATGAGCGCAGGAATGTCAGGGATCTGCTGGTAATCACTTTCCTCTTTGTCCCTATCATTAACATCACCATCAACATCATCATTATCATCAACATCTTCTTCTGAAGCAGCTTGATCAACATACACAGTGTATCCTTCAAATGTCTCTAAAGAGAACTGTTTCTTTTCTGAGACTGTCATTTCATCTGTGACTTGTAAAAGCTCAGAACCATCCAATGATATTTCGTGAGGGGGAGCATGAACAGTCTCCAACATTTTCCTCAACAATGTCGTGTCGCTTCTGTGAGATCCGACTCCAGCTTGAGTGCCCAGGTCTTCAGTGAGCATGGACTTCAGGACACTACCTCCATTTGAGGAGCTGTAGGCATTTGGTTCAAGGAAACGTTTAAAAGATAAAAAAGAGCCAAATTGATGTTTCTTCTGATGTTCCTGGAGAGCAAGATGCTGCAGAAGAAGGAATGATCTACCCGAGAGTCCCTCAACATTCTGCTTGCCACCATCAGTGCTAACTGATGGCCCACAGTTGGTGTTACTATTTGATGACTGTGAAGGAAAATCATTTGTTCCGGGATCATTATCCTGAACAGTTCTCCTCAATGACTGGAGGAGCAGACTTGCACTAGGATGAGATCCACTGACCACAGGCGACTCAACAGACCCTTCGAAGGGTTTGTCTTCATGCAGTATGTTGGCAATTGACTTGACTGTGGCTTGAGAAATGTCAGAACCGCACAGAGAGGGCAATAAGTTTCTACCACTGAGAACTTCCTTAACTGTTGTCCTCAGAGTTTCATCCCTTTCTTTCTTTACCTTATCACTAACATCTGATGCCTGACTGACTAACAGCTTATCTTGTTCCAGCGTGTCTTTTGCCAACAAGGAATTAAGTTTGAGTATGTCTCTTCCTCCCTTAACATTTGATGCAAATCTCATAACATCTTGAGTGAGACTGAGTTTGAGTTTGTCAATTTTGCTTTGATAACTCTCTCTGATTCTTCCCCTGCCCTTCCCTCGAAAACACTTTTTCTTTTTGGCACTTCTAGATCCTGGTTTGTAGTCACTGTCTCCACTGTCCCCATCATCCCATTCTGGTTCTGGACTCTTGTCATAGTCTGGGTCAAGGTCTCTGTCGGAGGCAGTCTCAATTTCTTCATCATCAGAGTCAACCTGATAGTCCAGGTAAGATACTTTCCAGTCTTTATCTTGTGAATCCTCTGAAATGTCCTCATTACTTACAATGTTCTCACTTGCACCAGGATCAGAACTGCAATGCCCTTCTGAAAGGATATCCGAAGCTTGTCCTGAAGAGAAAAAGTTCGGATGAAACCTCTCCATGTCCAATGCTGTTCCTGCTTCAAGTCTTTCCATCTTGACATTTATGTTCTCACCCATCTTTGATTAATGTTTAGGTGTTACCTATGTTTGGTGTCACCTATGTGAGGGGTCACTCCTTGTGCTGTCTGTTGTTTCAAGAGTACTGCCTCAAGTGTCTAAGACCTATTTTCAGTGGTTTTTATGTCATGGATTTGGGTTGAGGGCATACTTCCATCTCATGAAGTCTTCCTCATCTGTTGGTGATTACATTTACTGGTCACCCATCTTTGTCCATGAGATTATTCATGTTAACTAGAAATGAGGACACACCACATCACCATCTCCAGCTTATACGGGGGTAGGGATTGAAGCCCATCTTGTCAATTCACATCGCCACCTGGCAAAGGAAACAAAACAAACATCAATTATACCATGGGAACAAATCATGACTTGGAGAAACATCATGCATAGTTTCTGTTTTAACCAATAAACAAGTTCACCATTCCGCCTTTTTGTATCCTGTTTTATCACCTGACCATGGTTACTGAACAGTTTGAGAGATCACTGTTGTATAGAATATGATTACCCTTTTTAGCAAACACCTGGGGTCATCACTGATTTTCAATGATCAATTTATATAGTTTTTGCCACTATTTAGCCTCTGAGGCAATCTCTGTTGCGGCACATAGTCTACACTGAATATTCTCTGGCTTTCATACCTTATAGATGTTAGACATACTGATTATATAGGAAACAGCATAAACCTCTCCAGAACAGCGTGGAACATCCTGGAAGGTTTTAAAGACTTATATGACAAGTGCATGCCTCTATCCTTTCACAATACATCAAGACCAGCTGTTTTCGTTATTAATATTTTCAACCCTTGGCCTGTTTCAAAAGCTTGACCACTATTGCTGCTCGGTGAATATATTACCACCGACTTTACCACTGCAACATATAATATTCAACCATAGTAATCCTACTGCCACTGAATTCTGTACCACACTCTACTGGGTACTGATGTAACTAAGGCAGAAATTTGTATTGATTTGCAAGCCTAGTTTTATTTCATGATACATTTTTAATTATATAACATTTCTTTGTTGGTTTCACACTGAATTCTTCCGGTATTGACTTCTGGGTTAACTGTTTCAATTTGAAATTGATATGTAACAATGAAAGAGAAACAAAATATTGTGTTCATAAATACAGTGTGCTCTAACCCTATGTGTAGTGCAATATGTTATAGCTTTTCCTGAAGTTAAAGCATGAGGGTACATGTGATATTTGCACATCAGTTTGATGTTTGTTATTTTTGACATGGTAGAGATTACTGAGTGGAGCCTATGTGTGCATTTAGACTACCATGTCCAGCTATCTCAAGCACTACAATTGTGAGTCACAGAGATACCCGTCAAGACTGGTCTGCCATTGTGTACCTGGCATACACCCAGCTGCAAGACCTCACACATTGACAGCGGGGACAGTGTGAGTCACACATTGTGGGCATACATCCTGTAGGTGATGACCGAGATACCCAGCTGCAAGACCTCCTGTAGGTGATGACAGTGCAGGGGACAGTGAGTCACACATTGTGTACCTGGCATACAGAGATACCCAGCTGCAAGACCTCCTGTAGGTGATGACAGCAGGGGGACAGTGAGTCACAGTACAGACTCACACATTGTGTACCTGGCATACAGAGATACCCAGCTGCAAGACCTCCTGTAGGTGATGACAGCGGGGACAGTGAGTCACACATTGTGTACCTGGCATACAGAGATACCCAGCTGCAAGACCTCCTGTAGGTGATGACAGCAGGGACAGTGAGTCACACATTGTGTACCTGGCATACAGAGATACCCAGCTGCAAGACCTCCTGTAGGTGATGACAGCGGGGACAGTGAGTCACACATTGTGTACCTGGCATACAGAGATACCCAGCTGCAAGACCTCCTGTGACAGCGGATGACCTGGCATACAGAGATACCCAGCTGCAAGACCTCCTGGGGTGACAGTGAGTCACACATTGTGTACCTGGCATACAGAGATACCCAGCTGCAAGACCTCACTGTAGGTGATGACAGACGGGGACAGTGAGTCACACATTGTGTACCTGGCATACAGAGATACCCAGCTGCAAGACCTCCTGTAGGTGATGACAGCAGGGACAGTGAGTCACACATTGTGTACCTGGCATACAGAGATACCCAGCTGCAAGACCTCCTGTAGGTGATGACAGCAGGGACAGTGAGTCACACATTGTGTACCTGGCATACAGAGATACCCAGCTGCAAGACCTCCTGTAGGTGATGACAGCAGGGACAGTGAGTCACAGAGTCTCTCACACACATTGTGTACCTGCAGCAAATACCCAGCTGCAAGACACATTGTGTGTACCTGGCATACAGAGATACCCAGCTGCAAGACCTCCTGTAGGTGATGACAAAGGGGACAGTGAGTACATTGTGTACCTGGCATACAGAGATACCCAGCTGCAAGACCTCCTGTAGGTGATGACAGCAGGGACAGTGAGTCATCTACATTGTGAGTCACCATTGTGTACATACAGAGAGATACCCAGCTGCAAGACCTTCTGTGTACCTGGTGATGACAGTGGGTGATGACAGTGAGTCACACATTGTGTACCTGGCATACAGAGATACCCAGCTGCAAGACCTCCTGTAGGTGATGACAGCGGGGACAGTGGGTCACAGTAAGAGACTCACACATTGTGTACCTGGCATACAGAGATACCCAGCTGCAAGACCTCCTGTAGGTGATGACAGCAGGGACAGTGAGTCACACATTGTGTACCTGGCATACAGAGATACCCAGCTGCAAGACCTCCTGTAGGTGATGACAGCAGGGACAGTGAGTCACACATTGTGTACCTGCCTCTATTTAGCGCCCGATCCTCTAATAACAACATCAGGGATAGTCAACACAGTGCTTTAAGAAATAAAGCCAATCTCTACTAACAGCATCCAGTTATAGACCTTTTGCTTTACATCTAAATGTATTCTCCTTGGTCTAAAATAGATATATTAAGGAATGGTCCCTTAAATCCATTCTCAATTAACATCCCATGTCTTTATCCCCTTCCTTAAAAATACATGGTATTTTAATAAACATCCTCAGGTCAACAGGTTCTGTTAAAAAAGTGCCAGGGCACTTATTAGAGGAAATCAACATCCATTCGGTCACTTTTTAACTTACACACAAGATTCACACTCTGTCTAAACATCCAACTCTCAGTTAACAACATCCAATTCTCAGTTAACAACATCCATTCTCAGTTAACAACATCCATTCTCAGTTAACAACATCCATTCTCAGTTAACAACATCCATTCTCAGTTAACAACATCCATTCTCAGTTAACAACATCCATTCTCAGTTAACAACATCCAATTCTCAGTTCTCAGTTAACAACATTATCCATTCTCAGTTAACAACATCCAATTCTCAGTTAACAACATCCCATTCTCAGTTAACAACATCCATGTCAATTCCATCAGTTAACAACAACAGCATCCATTCTCAGTTAATCAATTCTCAGTTAACAACAACATCCATTCCTCAGTTAACAACATCCATTCTCAGTTAACAACATCCATTCTCAGTTAACAACATCCATTCTCAGTTAACAACATCCATTCTCAGTAACAACAACATCCATTCTCAGTTAACAACATCCATTCTCAGTTAACAACAACATCCATCCCATTCTCAGTTAACAACAACATCCATTCTCAGGTAACAACAACAACATCCAATTCTCAGTTAACAACATCCATTCTCAGTTAACAACAACATCCATTCTCAGTCAACAACATCCATTCTCAGTTAACAACAACATCCATTCTCAGTTAACAACATCAATTCTCAGTTAACAACATCCATTCTCAGTTAACAACAACATCCATTATCAGTTAACAACATCCATTCTCAGTTAACAACATCCATTCTCAGTTAACAACATCCATTCTCAGGTAACAACTCATTTCACAACAACATCCAATTCTCAGGTAACAACAACATCCATTCTCAGGTAACAACATCCATTCATCAACATTCTCATCAGTTAACAACAACATCCATTCTCAAGTTAACAACAACATCAATTCTCAGGTAACAACAACATCCATTCTCAGGTAACAACATCCATTCTCAGGTAACAACAACATCCATTCTCAGGTAACAACAACATCCATTCTCAGGTAACAACAGCCTTTCTCAGTTAACAACAGCCTTTCTCATTATCAGTTAACAACACTGGTCCTCAGCAATCTCTACTTGTGTTGAGGGGTGACAATTGATATCAGGTGGCCTAGTTCACTCACTTGGTTGATACATGTCATTAAATCCTGCTGGTAATGATATTGATAATCACTGAACAACAGTAGAGGCCGTCCAGACAGACAGAGGCGATTATTTACATGCAGCTGGTTTATTGTTGTGCATTTTGTATAAAGGTTGTTGATGGTGATTCTATAAATGAAAACTCCCACTGAGAGCATAGCACTCTGGCCTCTTTACTCCGTACATCTGCTAACGCCAAACAATTTGTGTTTTACATAGCTATTGTAGAATGGAGATGCTGAGACTACAGGGAACAGAGTGGACTAACGCTTAGTCTCTATATATTATTTTGATAGTAACAAATCAACCAATTGAAATTGAAAAGGAGTGCAAGTGAGTTGGGAGATATAGGGAAATCTTGACTTGCTTCATTTAGGGCTTACGCATTGCTGGAAGGCTTGGCTGTAGGGAAAATAATGTGGTTCAGGGACTGTGAGACAGACTAAGCTAATCCATTAGTGATAATTGATGTTCGGAGTCTAAAGTCTGGCAGTGAGATAAAGTCAGGTCAAATAGGTACAGTCAACCTTTGAGAAACTGCCTGAACCCGCATCTACTTAAATGATCAAGATTGTTTACAGTATTTGAGGATAGTAACACTAGGTCACACACCCAATACAGTGGTACAACATGAGCATACAGGTGTTTCAGTCATTTGCTGCCACTGCATCATAACACTGCAAGTATTAAGAAATAAAGCAGGAAGCAACAATTTTACGTGAAACAGAATACCATTTTTTATATGTGCACAAACAAACGATAAAAACATTTGATTATCAAATCCTGGGATGTGTAGTGTCAAACTAAGATAAACTACCCAATGTTAAGTAACGATAAGAAATAAAGTGAGTGGTGAGTGAGTGAGTGAGTATGGTTTTACGCCGCTTTTAGCAATATTCCAGCAACATCACGGTGGGGGACACCAGAAATGGGCTTCACACATTGTGCCCATGTGGGGATTCGAACCCGGGTCTTCGGCGTGACGAGCCAACGCTTTAACCATTAGGCTACCCCACCGCCCCTAAGAAATAAAGACCTAAATGCAACCAAGAACATAATATAAGCTTTCCGTAAGCAAAGTTTGAGGGATGTACACTTGAGCACTATTAATCAATATTATTCAAAACTGTGAGGGAATCAAAGCAGTTGTGTTTCAGTTAACAAACAAAAAACCGATATAATTTTTCTTGCATATCAATTTTTTTATTACACTAGTAATCAGTTGTGTGGACACTGGTTTTTGACTTTTGGAATGAAGGAAAATGTATTGCTTGAATAACATTTATTATCGTACCTAAAAGTGTACCTAAAATAGCCAACTGCATACTTGCAACACTGCATGCAAATTTTATCTGCTTACCACTGCTACACAGAAAACACATGACATTTAGGAAACACTTATGACTCAAGGTTCTCATTCACCACCCTTGTCGAGATGTGACTTATTTATTGACCAAATATTATCACCAATGTAATCATATAAAATTAAGTACACCAGGAAATACTTGTATTCTAGTTAGGTCAGACCATGTACCACTAATCTAACGATTTAGTGTACATCAAAATAGTATACAGTATAATATAGTAACGTTAAGACATTATAAGTTCAGTAAATCTAAATTACATATAATTAGGCTTGTGGAAGTAAAGTAATTCTTGTGCATGTATTGTATATATTCTATTGTGGGCTTGCAATCAAAATGTATGTCATTGAATGTATTTTTTTATAATTAATATGTGTGTTTAATTCAAATGATTCATGATACCCTTGATCAATCAATCAATTTTACACAGTGTACCTGTTAAGTAAGGTAACAAAACTGTACACGCAAAAACTCATTATTATTGCACTGAATAAAGACTGGCCACTACTTAATGCTTCTCTTGGTTATTTAAGGTGTTCCGGTCCCAAGCTAAATCCCCGACAACAAATTGTAGTTATTATATTGTATTAGGCATTATTTTAATTATTCTAGACAAAATATAGCCTAAAAAGGTTACTATCAGGTCCAAGATACTAGCCCAAATGAAATGTGCATTTGGAAAATGCAATATTTGACAAGAAATACCAAATATGCCATTTGCCATTTACTGATATCAAATGTGAACATGTAGAATGAAAGTAATTTTAGAAATTTTAGAATGTATTTATTTTCATTAAACGTAGTTCTCACGACATATATTAACATTGTTTGAAATCAGCATGAAAATTAATGGATTCGTGTCACAAACGTCACGTGACCACAGGGCCGATCTCAAAGCCCCCCCTCCCCCAACTTATAATCTCATCTTCGTGAACCTTATGGTGTGGATTATTCAGTTGTAAATTTTCGTTAATGAGCAAATTAGCGAAGCAGTGATATAATATTAACCGCTGCAGCGGTAAAACCTAACTGTAACATAATTTGCGGCACACAGCCAGGGCTCGGGGGAAAACTGTCATCAGTGTATATAGATCTACCTTTGTTATACGCCGAGGAAGGTATATATTATATAACATGACCCATATTGTAACACATTGTATATATGTATCTCAAATACAATAGATTACATTTGTCACAGAGTTGAACGAATGTGAGGAATGCTCTCCTCATGTTTATCAACACCAATATGCCATGTCCGTTCACATTGTACCAGTGTGACTGCAATGGCGAGAGGTTTGACCTCGTTTCTGTGCCGATATCAACAGGAGTTAAAACGACTAAAATACGCTTCTATTGCAGGCTACAGATCATTAAAAAGCTGTCTGGAATATTTGACGACTTACCGTGGATGAAAGCTGCGACTAAAACACAATTTGACCCTTGGCCTTCGAGAGAAAATGGTTCAATCTCCGATAAATGTCAAGGCCGTTACCGGGTTCGCGTATGGTTCACATCTAGGTCAGACAGGTCAGAGGTGAAGGGTATGACCGGGTCACAGTGACCTTCTATGCCGCGCACTGCCTATTTCTGAATGTCGCCTTGTTTATGACTGATCTCTATCTAAGATAGCCCTTGGAAATCCTACTCGCAAAATAACGATTAACAGAACTGAAATACTTATAGTTAATACAATGCCCGTGTAAACCCAAGCATAATTTCGAGGGATCAGACATCGACAGTGATGTTTGGCAGGGTCATCATAACCACTGACACAGTTTGAGGGGAAGGCGTGGACGAAAACAAACATCGTCAAGAAACTAAACTTGAAAAAGAAGGGCATTTTGTTACATTTAAATATAAAGATTAGGGCCCAAAGAATTAACCAAATTTATGGTGAATATGAATTTAAAAAACAAACAACCCAACAATTCAAAGTACTGTAATTAAGACGATGATTGTCAACCAATAGATTGTCGTTACCAGATTCTATTATTACAATCTCTTGGATGCTATGTTGTTGCCATGTTGGTACCTCAATCAGATGTTGCCATGTTGGCACCTGGATAAGATGTTACTGTGTTGGTACCTGGATGCTACATTGTTGCCATGTTGGTACCTGGATGCTACGTTGTTGCGATGTTGGCACCTGGATAAGATGATGCCATGTTGGCCCCTGGATACTACTTATTGCCATGTTGGCACCATGATAAGATATTACTGTGTTGGTACCTGGATGCTACGTTGTTGCCATGTTGGTACCTGGATGAGATGTTGCTGTTGACACCTGGATGCTACGTTGTTGCCATGTTGATACCTGGATGCTACGTTGTTGCCATGTTGGCAACTGGATGAGATGTTGCTGTGTTGACACCTGGATGAGATGTTGCTGTTGACACCTGGACGCTACGTTGTTGCCATGTTAATACCTGGATGAGATGTTGCTGTTGACACCTGGACGCTACGTTGTAGCCATGTTGACACCTGGATACTACTTGTTGCCATGTTGATACCTGGATGAGATGTTGCTGTTGACACCTGGACGCTGCGTTGTTGCCATGTTGACACCTGGATGCTACGTTGTTGCCATGTTGATACCTGGATGAGATGTTGCTGTTGACACCTGGACGCTACGTTGTTACCATGTTGATACCTGGATGAGATGTTGCTGTTGACACCTGGACGCTACGTTGTTGCCATGTTAATACCTGGATGAGATGTTGCTGTTGACACCTGGACGCTACGTTGTTGCCATGTTAATAACTGGATGAGATGTTGCTGTTGATACCTGGATGCTACGTTGTTGCCATGTTGACACCTGGATGCTACGTTGTTGCCATGTTGATACCTGGATGAGATGTTGCTGTTGACACCTGGATGCTACGTTGTTGCCATGTTGATACCTGGATGAGATGTTGCTGTTGACACCTGGACGCTACGTTGTTGCCATGTTGATACCTGGATGAGATGTTGCTGTTGACACCTGGATGCTACGTTGTTGCCATGTTGACACCTGGATGCTACGTTGTTGCCATGTTGATACCTGGATGAGATGTTGCTGTTGACACCTGGATGCTACGTTGTTGCCATGTTGACACCTGGATACTACTTGTTGCCATGTTGATACCTGGATGAGATGTTGCCATGTTGGCACCTGGATGCTACGTTGTTGCCATGTTGGCACCTGGATGAGATGTTGCCATGTTGGCACCTGGATGCTACATTGTTGGCATGTTGGCACCTGGATGCTACATTGTTGCCATGTTGGCACCTGGATGCTACGTTGTTGCCATGTTGGTACCTGAATGAGATGTTGCCATGTTGGTACCTGGATGCTACATTGTTGCCATGTTGGGACCTGGATGCTACGTTATTGCCATGTTGGTACCTGGATGCTACATTGTTGCCATGTTGGTACCTCAAACAGATGTTGCCATGTTGGCACCTGGATGCTATGTTGTTGCCATATGGGTATCTTGGTAAGACGTTGGTACCTGGATGAGATGTTGCCATGTGGGTATCTTGGTAAGATGTTGGTACCTGGAGGATATGTTGCTATGTGGGTATCTTGGTAAGACGTTGGTACCTCGATGAGATGTTGCCATGTGGGTATCTTGGTAAGACGTTGGTACTTGGAGGAAATGTTGCTATGTGGGTATCTTGGTAAGACGTTGGTACCTGGATGAGATATTGCCATGTGGGTATCTTGGTAAGATGTTGGTACCTGGATGAGATGTTGCCATGTGGGTAGCTTGGTAAGACGTTGGTACCTGCAGGATATGTTGGTATGTGGGTATCTTGGTAAGACAGTACCTGGATGAGATGTTGCAATGGGGGTATCTTGGTAAGATGTTGGTACCTGGATAAGATGTTGCTATGTGGGTATCTTGGTAAGACGTTGGTACTTGGAGGAAATGTTGCTATGTGGGTATCTTGATAAGATGTTGGTACCTGGAGGATATGTTGCTATGTGGGTATCTTGGTAAGACATTGGAACCTAGATGAGATGTTGCTATGTTGGTATCTTGGTAAGATGTTGGTACCTGGATGAGATGTTGCTATGTTGGTACCTTGGTAATATGTTGGTACCTGGATGAGATGTTGCTATGTGGGTATCTTGGTAAGATGTTGGTACCTGGAGGATATATTGCTATGTGGGTATCCTGGTAAGATGTTGGTACCTGGATGAGATGTCGTTATGTGGGTATCTTGGTAAGATGTTGGTGCCTGGTTATGTTGCTATGTGGGTAATTTGGTAAGATGTTGGTACCTGGATATGTTGCTATGTGGGTACCTTGGTAAGATGTTGGTACCTGGATGAGATGTTGCTATGTTGGTATCTTGGTCAGATGTTGGTACCTGAATGAGATGTTGCTATGTGGGTATCCTGGTAAGATGATGTTGCTATGTGGGATCTTGGTAAGATGTTGGTACCTGGATGAGATGTTGCTATGTGGGATCTTGGTAAGATGTTGGTACCTGGATGAGATGTTGCTATGTGGGTATCTTGGTCAGACGTTGGAACCTGGATGAGATGTGCATGCTCTCTCTTTCTCTCTCTCTACCGATCCATCGATCGATCTACTCCAATCATAGACCATATATGGTCTCTACTCCAACCCACTCAAATGTATCATTATTTCATTGAAGAGTCAAAACAAAAGACTTATACATTTAAAAAAATAAATAGTTTATTACAAAATATGTGTTAGTCATCATACAGTGATTGAGAAAACATGGAGTGCAAATGAAGATCATAGCACTATTTACACAATATGGGGGTGCCATTGGTACACAAGCAACTGATACAGGCTTACTGCAATGTCCTGTGTGCATGCAAAGTTATACATCCTGGTGTTAACAAGCTTAACATCATAGCTTACCTACATATATATTTCTGTATGTCCAGGTAACCATCACTCAGTAATTACATGCAATGAGTACAAATGTGCATTCTACATATGAATGAACGACAAGGTTGATTAATCATGGTATATTGACAAATCAGTTCCAGTTTTCGTTTATATACAATATTATGAATCACCATGATGCTTAACTCACTTGAATTTGAGGATAACATTAATAGTGAGTAAAAGTCCAGATAAGCTTGGAGCTGAGGTAACAATGGAAACATCATCAGACTGAAGCTTTTATCAATAATATGACATAGGCCTATTGCACATGAAAAGAATAAGATTGGGACCTAGTTAGTGGACTAGTTTAATAATAGCTATAATACATAGAAAACACATAATATTTGTAAACATGATATATATATTATTTATCGCATCTGTACATATGGTATATAACTTCCATATCACATCTGTACACATGGTATATACATTACATGTCAAATCTTCACAGATTGTATATATCTTCCATACCACATCTGTACATATGGTATATAACTTCCATATCACATCTGTACATATGGTATATACATTACATGTCAAATCTTCACAGATTGTATATATCTTCCATACCACACCTGTACATATGGTATATAACTTCCATATCACATCTGTACATATGGTATATACATTACATGTCAAATCTTCACAGACTGTATATATCTTCCATACCACATCTGTACACATGGTATATACATTACATATCAAATCTTCACAGACTGTATATATCTTCCATACCACATCTGTACATATGAACAGCTAACCAAGTGCTTGACAAAACACCTCGGGTTGTGTACTTCCCAGGAAAACATGAGAATGAAAATCGACTGCACACTTATTAACTGACTGTAGTAATAAAGTTAGTGATTTGAGCATGCACCTTGGGTTTTCAGTCTCACACAACTGACATACACACATTATTATTTTTATGACAAACATCCCAATGAAATCTGTACCGGTACCTATTTCACCTGTCAGTACAATCGCAACATGATAATACTGTTAAACAACTGGACAAAGGACCAGTGAATGTCACACATTTCTCTGTCTGCAACATTATCACCTATAAAGCTTGCACCACTCACTGCATAGTACTGGCAAGACAATGAGACAGAGGCAACACACAGCTCAGGACATGGTGACAACGTCCGTCAGATAACTCCATGTGTCATTCTTCAACATGGAGGTAACAACATCATTCAACTGCAGATCCTTGGCTATGTTGTACTGCATGCGTACATCCTTGCAGAAAGGCAGCAACTTCTTGATGTGGTTCAGGTGTTGTTGAGGGGCACTGTTCACTGACTGCTGGAACCTGAAAACACACAGGTCATCTTACCTGGAGGTCATCTTACCTGGAGGTCTAATCACAGATCTTGAAACTTGCTAGCTGTTACGCACAGTTCTAGAGATTTGTCTACAGTTTAAGCTAAAATAATCTAGAGTTCACATTACATATCTGTAGTATACATTACCTAAGTTGTAGTAGATAGTACCTAATCTGAAGGACACATTACCTAAGTTGTAGTAGATAGTACCTAATCTGAAGGACACATTACCTAAGTTGTAGTAGATAGTACCTAATCTGAAGGACACATTACCTAAGTTGTAGTAGATAGTACCTAATCTGAAGGACACATTACCTAAGTTGTAGTAGATAGTACCTAATCTGAAGGACACATTACCTATTCTGTAGTATACATTACTAAGTTGTAGTAGACAGTACCTTATCTGAAGGACACATTACCTAAGTTGTAGTAGATAGTACCTAATCTGAAGGGCACATTACCTAAGTTGTAGTAGATAGTACCTAATCTGAAGGACACATTACCTAAGTTGTAGTAGATAGTACTTAATCTGAAGGACACATTATTTAAGTTGTAGTAGATAGTACCTAATCTGAAGGACACATTACCTAAGTTGTAGTAGATAGTACCTTATCTGAAGGACACATTACCTATTCTGTAGTATACATTACCTAAGTTGTAGTAGATAGTACCTAATCTGAAGGACACATTACCTAAGTTGTATTAGATAGTACCTAATCTGAAGGGCACATTACCTAAGTTGTAGTAGATAGTACCTAATCTGAAGGGCACATTACCTAAGTTGTAGTAGATAGTACCTAATCTGAAGGGCACATTACCTAAGTTGTAGTAGATAGTACCTAATCTGAAGGACACATTACCTATTCTGTAGTATACATTACCTAAGTTGTAGTAGATAGTACCTAATCTGAAGGACACATTACCTAAGTTGTATTAGATAGTACCTAATCTGAAGGGCACATTACCTAAGTTGAAGTAGATAGTACCTAATCTGAAGGACACATTACCTAAGTTGAAGTAGATAGTACCTAATCTGAAGGACACATTACCTAAGTTGTAGTAGATAGTACCTAATCTGAAGGACACATTACCTATTCTGTACAACAAAGTCACCCAAATGCTGATACCCTTGAGTCAGTCATCAAATTGCATACAAGAACAGACTTTATTTTTAACCTTGATTGTTTTACTACCAAATGTCCTCAGTTAAATCATCTCTTTAATGAAACTCTGAATTCACAACATGAGAGAACAACCATATAGTATATATTCTTTCTCCATTGACACTTTTCATCAGCTGATGAGGGAGTAAAAATACACTCCACAATGCCCTGTTCCTCATGTTACAGAAGTTGGCATCCATAAAGATTTCCTTAGCATTTGTTGAATCCAGGGCATATGACATGCATCATGATAGTTATTTTGAGATTATCAGAAGAGTTTGAAAATGCTTTGTCTTTTTATGAAGTAATCCAAACATTTGTGAAATTTGACCTCTAGTGACCTTCATCTTAAACAGAGGTCATCAAAAATCAATAACTTCTCTGAGACCTGCTCAAGAGATCATATCTATTAAGTGTTATCATGGGATCACATTTGGCAACTCGATCCAGGTATCGTGACTACGGTATCAGTGCACGAAAGGTGTTCTGTGGTGTACCTGCCGATGGCCTCCTGGATCATGGCAGCTTTGAGGCGTATGTGTGACCGCAGATCCTGGAGGTAGCGGAAGTCGCCATTTAGGATCACGTTGTAATAGATGGCCTCAGACCAGTTGGCACGTTTCCCATAAGCCTCGCTGACAATCAGAGACTGTAAATTACAAGTTTGGATATGAATGGGTGAATTTGGTTTAATAAAGCATCTGGTGATATTCCCACCACACCATACCTGCCAAGGGAGGATATGAGGTCAGTGAACCTCATCTCAAACACTATACATACACTCATGGAGGTGAGGTGAGGTGAAATGGAATTTATACAAACCTGTAGAGGTTATGAATTCTTTGAAGAAAGTCCTCCTTGGGGTACTTATAAGCATTAAAATGTCCATTTTGAAACCTACGACAGTTGTAACTATATTTCAATAAAAATATTTACAAAACGAAAAACACGCTCTGCTATGAGACCACTTCCCTACAGGGCCCCAGCTGGCCCCCTACCGCAAGAGCAGGTAACTCTAGCCGACAACCTCGCGACCTCACTTTTCATGCTGAACGGATCAGACAGAATGAGGGGAGGCGGGGAGTCAGACTTCAAGGAGGACTTTCTTCAAAGAATTCATAACCTCTACAGGTTTGTATAATTCTTTTTCAGAAGAAGTCCTCCTTGGGGTACTTATAAGCATAAAACAGACTCCCAAAGATCAGAAAACCGGAGTGGCATTCTGTCTGACACACTGGTCCTAACGCAGTAACGTAGTACAGCCGTGATGAAAATAGAAATCACACTTACCCAGTCACGCGTCCGCCAATGTCAATCAAGGCGGGGCGGATTCTAAGGCGAGGACCCTGGGAGGTCAAAGCTTAGTGCCCATTGGTCAATCGGTACACACCCCCAAGATAAAACTACACCTCCCATCCTGATTGGTGGAAGTGAGTAAAAACTAGGGACTCGCCAAAACAAACTACTGTCCATAGCACACCGCCAGCCAAGCGGGAAAAATGGAAAATAGAAGCCAAAGGCACCGATACCAAAAGAACGGAAATAAAACCGCCACCACATACCTTCACCAGTGCAAAATAGGGAGAATATACCCGACACCAGTATAAAACAATGAGTAAATCAGCCACAAGGCTTACTCGCCTGAGGCGCTACTCTGTCCACTGTGGAGAATCGCCTGGCCAAACCGAAAGCACGCCACGCCAATGTTTGTCCAGCTGATAATGGCTTAATGAACGCATTCGGTCGGCTCCAAATAGCCGCAGAGCATATCTCCTCAATGGCAGAGCAGCCGCGATACGCTTTGGACGGGGCAACTGCTCGAACCGAATGAGCCTTTAAACCCTCTGGGGAGTCATACCCTTGTGTATGTAACCCATACATATTGCCGACAATGATCCACCTCGATATGGTCTGTGTGGTAACTGGGTGACCTACTTTATCACTTCGCAACAGCAGAATAACTGCTTATCTTTACGGATTGACTGTGTTCTCTTGACATACGCCTTAAGTGTCTTACGCATATCCAACACATGTACTTCTGGCGCTTTGGCGCCACCAGACGGGCAGGAAGCGTAAAGGCAGGTAAATCAATAGGAGCGTGACATGAAACGCTTTATCGATTTTTGGGCGGTAGGAATCAGGTGTTTAATACTTACCCTATCCTTATGAAAACGGTAAGCTCCGGTCTGAAGACATAGCATGAATGTCTCCCACCCGCCTACCTGAAGTAATGGCTACCAAAATGCCGCTTCCAACTTAACAGTTGAAGCGACAACTCCACCTATCGTGAGAAGAAAGGACTAGATAGCCAATCTAAAACGATGGACAGCTCCCATGGTGGACTGGTCCGACGGACTAATCGGACGCACTCTGTCCACACCTGCTAAGAAACGCTGAACCAGAGGGTGTTGTCCTAAAAGGGCACCCTCGGTAGGAATGTGGAAAGCTGAAATAGTTGTGGAGTAGCCTCGATAGTAGACGCTGCTAGGCCGGGCTTCTAACCGAGACTGTAAAATCTCCAAAACTTCGACTACAGTCGAAGAAAAGGGATCAAGTATCCCTCTGTTTCCACACCAGCGCCAAGATAACAGGCCCATCTATCCTCATACTGTAAGTTAGTCGAATCCCTCCGCCGGCCAGAATTGTGTCTGCAACTGGTGCAGGAATTCCGCCGCGACGGAGGCTTACTTCCTGACAGTGGCTGCCACCCACTGGATCCATGGATCCGGTGTGGCTGGCCTTCCTGGGATAGGAGGTCCGTCGCGATCGGGTAACAGCACCGAGGCTGTACTAGCGATCTGAGTATTACAGGAACCAGCGCTGAGACGACCACAGAGGTGCAAGAAGCACAAGTAGTCGCTACTGGTTGGGTGGCTAGCTGCGATAGGACTCTGGGAATCAGAGGTATCGGTGGGAACGCCCACAGGACCCTGTCCGGCCCAATCTAGCTGGAAGGCATCGAGGGCGATCGCCCCCGATCCGGGATCCGGAGCAAAACACCGAGTCTGGTTCGCCACCCCAGAGGCAAACAGATCCACCTGGAACGACCCAACAACTGGGAGATAGCCCCGAATATCTCCCGGTCGAAAGTAACCACTGTGAGGGGCCAGGATACGACGCGAGAGTGCATCTGCACGCACGCTGTCCTCCCCGAGATACACAGGTAATACCCGCGGTGTTGAACCGGGTCGCATTCACAGCAGAAACTGCCACGCCCCTGGAGGAGTGACGGAGACACCGCATCGCCTCTGCTTCAGGATATAGGACATCGCCGCTTGATTGTCCATTTCTAGACGAACCACACGGTTCAACCTGTTCCATGAAGCTGCTCAATACCCGCCGGACCGCCTCAATTCTAACACGCTGATGTGTAAGGTCGCTTCGCTCACGACCAAAGTCCGAAGCTGTGAGGTCCCCTAGGACCCCCACCCCTGTGAGGGAGGCGTCCGGCCTGAATCGCGGAGCGAGGCACCGGGTCTCCAGAGGGATACCCCTGACTAGATTCCCGTGTCGGTCCACCACCTGAGGTGAGGATGAAGCCACTCTGGAGTTAGGAGGATAGTCTCGTAACTCCCCGAAAGTGTGACCACAGCTGTGCTAACGCTTGCTGAATTGGCCGCATCCTCAGACGCCAAGACGCCAAACTACATCCACCGCCGCCGCCATGTTGCCTAGCAACTGAAGCCATGCGCGCGCTGCTGAGGCCCTGGGGACTGAAGGAATTGTACAACAACCCGCTGTACTTTGGAAATGCGGTCCTGAGACAGAGAGACTAAGCCCTGCTGTGTCTCGAATCTCGCCCCCAAGAAAACCAGATCCTGGGATGGAACCAGCTCGATTTCTTGAGGTTGATGACCCAACCCAACCTGGTGAGAATATCCATCACTGTCTGTGTGGATTCCCGACTCAAGTGAGTGGAAAGCGCCTCTGAGCAGCCAGTCGCCCAGGTACGGTAACAAAAGTTGCCCTGTGCCCTGGCTTAATTTGAGCTGGCACTAGCATGAGTTTTGTGAACACCCTTGGCCGCGGGAGATGCCGGCGGGGAGCACACGAAACTGATAGCACCTCCCGGCCGGCTGAAAACCGGAGGTATTTCCTGAACTCGGGTGCATGGGTACATGAAGGTACGCTGGCCCTGAGGTCGATTGACGAAGCCAATCCCCTGCCTCCACAGATGAGATCACCGACCGTAGTGTCTCCATCTTGAAGGACGGTACCTCTAGCAAACTGTTCAGACCCTTTAAATTGAGAATGGGTCTGAACCTCCGGCCCTTCTTGGTAACCAGGAAATAGGTTGAGTAAACCCCTAAATTTTCCTGGCCCCTCGAACCACTCGATGGCTGCCTTGTCCAGCAACGCCTGACCTCGCACGGAGAACATCGGCCTTTTCCTGAGAGTTCGCACTGGCGCAAGCAACGAATCCCGGAGAAAGGAGGAGGGCCTCGCTCCACTGTGGCATATGCCCATCCCTGAGTGTGGACAGGACCCAGGGATTTGATGTGGCTTTCTCCCATTCCCGGCGAAGAGAGGTAGCCGGCCGCCTACAGGGACGCCGGGTAAGAGACAGTGAATCCCGCAGTCGGCAGTGTAACAACTGCTTGTGCCGACCAACAAGGGCCCGAGGAATGCTTACTGGGAAGCCGGGCCGACTTCCCTTCCTCTGAAAATGCTGCTGAGAGGCGCAGCCTTGCCCCTACCTCTACCCTTGCCCTTGCCTCTACGCGCCTGAAGTGGAGCCGCCCACTTCGGCGCCTTTCCTGAAGAGGAAGGGTAAGCTGAGGCAAGGACGGAAGGCCGGGCGCCGAGCAGTGAGGGGTTGTTCCAGTAAGGGCTTAGAGTCCTTAAACTGGCTAACCGCCTCGCTGCCTCCTGACCACTGTCAATGCCCCCGAACAGGGTTGAGCCCATCCTGAACGGCAAAGACAATAGCTTCTGCTGTGTAGCCGGTGAGTATCTGGCCACAGACAGCCACAACCGACGGAGGCCCATGATCGCAGACATCATCTGGCTAGCGCACGAATCGAATGGCGCCACGTGCAGATGTGAATGCACCTCCGCGAGCTGCCTCGCTAACGGACGGCGCACCGCCGCCGCCCACGCCTCCCTGGTCCACCAGCTTCCTCTGCAGGGCCGAGAGGTATGCTGAGTGGACTGAAACCTTTAGGTGTTGAACGGCGCTACGGTATTGTTCCTCAAAGGAACGATAGACCGACTTCAACACCTGGTTGTTAGAAGTAAAGGAGGCTTAACGCCGACCCTGACGAGCCGACGCTGCGGCTATGGCCAGATGACCTCCCAGGGCTTAATTGAGGCATAAATACACTCGCCTACCACCGGGGTCGAGCTTCTCTCCCATCAGGTAGCCCGTTCAGCCCGAAGATCGGCTTGACCGCCTCCTGAGAGGAGAGGGTTAATAACCTCACTGATCAGTGACGGTAAAATACGCAAGTGGGCCTCGGCGACCGACATCGAGCAAACGCCCCCCCGGAGACGAAACTCCGCTGGGTCGGGTCGCCTGACGGCACGACCACCTGCGCAAAAGGACGCAATGCGCTCCTTTACTTGCCGCAGGGACGGACCAAGCCGGCGAACCTTCCCCGACGCCTCATGCCCCCGCCGCCATCCATGGCTTCCTCCTCCCGCCCCGCAACGAACTCGGTATCCAGAGTCAGCCCGAGCACGGAAGTCGGTTCCACAGACAAAGATAGGGGAGCCATAAGAGCCAAGGCGCTTCTGGCCCGACCGACCCTAGGCTCGAGGTTGAGCCAGGGTGCCGAGGACCCAGGGAAGAGCCTGCCGGTGACAGGATTCCCCGGCGAACGTAAGGCCCCGAAGTCGACCGTAGCACCGGGCGCCGGAAACCCCGCCAGAGTTGGTAGCAAACGGTACGAGACCCGTGATCCAACACGCTTAGTACTCTGCGCTGAGCCGAGCCGGCTCGGGCCAGCCAGGCGAGGCACCAGCAGAGGGGTCACCAGAGCCAAGGCTCAAGGTAACGACTCTCCGGGTAGAACCCGCCCCCGACCGAGCCCGAGGCAGGGGAATCCCCTCGACAGACGACTCGAGCACCGCCAACTCCCCGAACGGAAGCCGATCTCCTCACGGAGACCGACATCGCTGGCCGGTGATCAGCGAAATAAACCGGTCATCTGTTGCTGCAATATGGATGTTAAATCATTAATACATACGGGTGCAGATTCTGATTGAGTTGTGGAAGTGGAGGGATAGGGAAGAAGGTTTAACCGCCTTGGCCCGCTTTACCCCCACCCCCACTAGAAGAAGAAGAACTCTTCTTACTTTTAGCCACTTTAGATGGTGGGTCCTGTGCCCATAAGTCCCCCTCGCCTGCGCAGCAGATTTGTATAAAACAAAAGTTCGCGGAACGACGCCGCCGCCTTTGGTGAGAAAATCTGGCAGTTCTCACACGCATTGATCATCATGATGTTCAACAGCCAAACAACGTAGGCACACATCGCGGCGTAATCCTGAGGTGGCAACATTGCCGCACATGCCACGCACGGGTGAAACTGTAACAAACAGAACCATTTATCATGGAAACTGATGTACAGTCTAAAAAACACACATATATGCAACACACGTAAAATATAATACGCACGGGCGATAAACCCTATGTGAAAAGCTAAGGCAGGTTTACCCTTTAACATATCATGAACAAGGGTGAAAATGCAAGCTTCCTGCGCAACATATATAGCGTAAATGTTATATGAAAAAACTTACCCCAACTCACCTTTTGCTGAAAGTGTAAACGTTAGGCAAGCCTACCATAGTAATAATAAGAAATTACCCTCCCCTAGCTGCATGTAACTTAAAAAGTTACAACCGTGACAGAAGGAAGCCAAACCGACCGCCATCTTGCCTGCCACGCATGGCTGGAAAATGGAGCCTGTCCGACTAAGTTACAACAATCATGAATGAAAAAATCAACCTACAATTCCACTAAAGCCCGTATGAGAGAAAAGAGGAACCATACATACATTAGTTGATTCTGTACCACTCATTTTGATTTCTTTTCACAATGAACTACACGCATCGCCTGTCTTCTGAGACGACAGCATGAAAAGTGAGGTGCGAGGTTGTCGGCTAGAGTTACCTGCTCTTGCCGCTTGTTTCGCTTTTGGCCCTGTAGGGTGGTCTCATAACGCAGAACGGTTTTTTTTCGCTTTGTAAATATTTTATTGAAATATAGTTACAACTGTCGAGGGTTTCAAAATGGACATTTTAATGCTTATAAGTACCCCAAGGAGGACTTCTTCTGAAAAAGAATGTTCATTTACATAGCAGCTACAGACATACTGGACAAATCATTGATCAAACCTCAACAAACTTGGGGTGTTGTGAGATGAGAGCTGTTACGCCCTCTGGGGAGAGGTTGACTACTTGGACACCTGAAGAAAGGTGCTGAAGTTGCAGCTCCAGCAGACGCGCTTGCCGCAGACACTGATGTGCATGACGCAGACAGCTGTCCTGCAAGCAATAGCAAATGTTAGCTTCATGGACATTACACAGAACCCTTACATTACATATACTTTACACAGTTTAGATCATTTGTATGTGTAAAGCAGGATCCTATATTCTCACTATGACGGTTAAACTTTGCGTATTAGTTATCTTTAAAAGTCCAAGCTTTGAACCCCACAAATAGATGACAGTTTTGTGAACATCTTTGGTTGGGCATGATACTGTTTCAAATAAAGCTGGGAAATCTGCAATGCTAAGATCCCCTTGAGACTATTGATGTAGTGGTGTATGGAATGAGTAATATTGCAACAGCTGTCTCCATTGACCTAATTCTCGAAACATTCGTAGCCCTAAGAATTCTTAACTTTGATCCTAGCCAATGTGTTAATAATGGGCTTAAGAAGTTCATAGGGCTACGAACGTTTCGTGAATAGCTAGCCAGAATACTACAGAAAGTATCAAGTACCTTTACATAGCTCTCGGCAGCATCAGAGAAGTACTGGGCACTTCTCTTAAGGTTGTCCTGAACATCTCGATTGTTTTCTGTCAGATGTAAAAGGAAAGAGAATAGTGGCCAACACCAAAACTAGACAAATGTCAAATAGACATTAAACTTTTACCAAATCATTAAAGGCCAAGCTTTTCTGAACATTCTTCACGTCTATCATAGCATGAAATGCTTCAAGCTGATTGTTCCACTGTTTGCTGCAAGGTTTCTAGTAATATGCATTGCTGCAAAAACGTTAAGACAACATCATCCATTGTTCATTATGAGAGGCCCAGATAAGCTGCGTATCCGGGTAAAATACGCATAGAATTACACATTGAAAAATAATTGTTGCGTACCAATTACGCATTTAAAATGTTAGATACGCAGAAAGTTTAAAACAAATGCGTCGTCGAATATATTTATAAAAATCGCCATGTAATGAAAAAAGACATCGATTGCTATCAAGTTGTACTGTTAGTATAGGACAAGTGTTGTACTGTCAGTATAGTATGAGTGATTTTTTATGAAATCATTTCCATTATATTTAAGTTGGTTTTGATTACCGCCTCATTTTCCATTGACTGCTAGTAAATGCTACAGTAACATCGGTAAAAATGTGTGAATTTAAATGGCTTCCATATTTTACCCCATTCCATGTGCGTATAACTTCTGCTTACCACGTTCATGAGGGTCCGTATAACCTTAGTGTTGATTATATATATTTTACATAAAACCTGAAACTAAATGACACAATGCTAGGTTATATTTCTTTGGGCTAAATAATAGTATTCTGTATTATAGTTTACTGACGACTGCGTCAGAATTCGTCCCGTAATATTATTGTGCATGTTTGAACCTGATCGCTGGGAAACATGTGCACAGCTGATTGCTATTTCCGGCTAAGATACACACGGTAATCTTAATCCCTGCAAATAATACAATGCCCAGCAAAAACAACTTAGAACTTAAAAGGTAAATAATCTTGTCTAGTGATGTTTAATTGCAAATTTGCTGTCTCTACTGACAAAGTCGTCTTCTGTTGTTTGTTTACGCGATTTGATATGATGTTGTTTTCTTACCCCTGGAAAAAAGTTTGACAGACTGCTCTTTTTGGTCCTCAAAATTCGGCTTATAGACGGTAATATACGGTAGGACATCTGCTTAGTAAACTTACTTAATGACATATACTTAGGTGAGTAAAATGACTGAAATACTCACATATTTGAAAGCAGTGGGTAACAGAAAAAGAAATACCCACTCAACATTCATAATACCCACTCCAAACAAATACAGTGGGTACAGTACCCACATGAGCTAAATCTTATCTGGAGCTCTGCATTATGTCAGAAATAGTAACGACTACATGTATCCATGCCAGGCCCCAGAGACTCTCTGACATCTTGTGATGGCTCAGAACACTAATTCTCTAAGGACAGACAATTCCTGGTAGTCTTTAACACAGGCAGGTACAGACAACTCCTGACTGAGTTATTTCCCTTGGCCAGCAGTAGGTTTAGTTAAGGTTATAATTGACCAGGACCATGTCCCACCAAGCAATCTTAGCACTATGATGATCTTCAGCATTTGTTATAGTATAGGAGATATGGTCACCTTAGTGTGAAGATCATTGGCAGAATGGGTCCCTGGATGACACTTTGCACTTTTTAAAGTGCTGTGTGGCCACTACTTTTTCTTGCAATGTTTTATGACATGATTGAATGTTTAAGCAACAGGATTTCAAATTTCCGAATGTTTCAGTGAAAAAAGCGACTTTGATCAATTACAGTGATAGGTAACTCTGACACAGACATTATCACCTGTGTCCCCTACTCTCCTTACCTAACGGTTTGGACCCGTGAAGGTGCGGGTTAGAATGAACCTTCGGTAACCCATGCTTGTCGTAAGAGGCGACTAACGGGATCGGGTGGTCAGGCTCGCTGACTTGGTTGACACATGTCATCAGTTCCCAATTGCGCAGATCGATGCTCAAGCTGTTGAGCACTAGATTGTCTGGTTTACAGACCTCCGCCATATAGCTGGAATATTGCTGAGTGCGGTGTAAAACTAAACTCACTCACTCACTTACCTAACGGTTTGTTCTTGAGGGCCTTCAGGTTCCGCAGCCATACTCCTCCAGCATGTGTGCAATCTCCGATGCATCATAAACTTGTGAGCCACCATCGTAGCTGTCCTTGTCCTCAGGGTGGAAGCGCTTTCAGGTAGTCCAGGACCGCTGTCTTCAAGTTGTCACCCTGGCAACAGGAACACTTTCATAAATGTCTAGATAATGTCTTCACACACAATAGACACCAAGACAGCATGATCACTCAGTTATGCTCTCTGACACTAAAGTTATATTTCAATTAACAATCTATGACAAATATATGTCTACTAGCCTTAACTTGTGTCTTAGCTTTATTTTCAGTAGATTTGGTGAGTGAGTGAGGAGTGAGTGAGTGAGTGAGTGAGTGGGTGGGTGGGTGGGTGGGTGGGTGTGGGGATGTTTGGGTGAGTGAGTGAGTTTGACATCACATTCTTGTCAGGACACAGACATCGTTGTTAGCTAAATCAGTTAAACCAACAAATACAGAATCTGCCGGGGTCAGACAGCCAGTAGTGTCTACATACCCTCTCCATCCCCTTCCCCAGCAGCAGTTCGAACTTGTGGTGGAGTTTCAAGGCATCGAAGATATACGTCATCTCATTGAACCGGCCCACTCCAGTCAGCAGCCGAATCTGTTGCATTTGAACAGTGACATTTATCACACTTGATCACGCAAATGCTGGTGAACCTTTATCTCCTAAGTTTTATAGAAGGACATCCTTGTCACTGCTGACATATGTTGTAGTTGTGAAAAACAGGAATTTTTGGCCACGATGTAACAAAGGTGAGTAACTCAACAAAATAATTAACCATCCACACACAAGAGCCGTGTCAGCCTCATTAGCTCTGTAATCAAAGCCCAATACAACTACCGGTAACCAACAGCATAGAGACATCGATTTCAAATTATAGCGGAATGATATACTTTAGAATCTGAACCAGACTTCAGTGGATGTTGAAGTTCAGTCCTAATCAGTCCCGTCTGGATTAGTGAGATTAGAGCAGACGGTATGTAGCAGAAGATAAAGAAAATGTAAATGTAGTTAGCATTTAAAGAAATATTACTTTTCAGTGTCCTGGTATTGTGAAAGACAGGTCCCACAGTAGTAAACCTGGGGCTCCTTTCACTAAACAACCTTTACTAAGGTTAACCTTAACACCCATTCTTTAACACTGCACTAAGGTTACCTTAGTGACTTACAATCACCTTAGTTCTTTGTGAAAGGAGGCCCTGGATTGTTGTTTGTGCTATATATTACCATGAGGGAAAACTCCTCCCAAGATGGGTGAGACTGTCGGTGCAGATGCGTGCAGCTCGCAGCACGTGTGAGATGCCTTCCATGTTGCAGGCTGCAGTGTGACAGTCATGCGCCATGATCATAAGCTCGGTCTGTATCGCCAGGGCTACAAGCAAGACATGGAGGTCAAGTGACAAATCTATGATACAGCATTGTACATGTTAGCAGTCCTAAAACATACCAGCTAGGGCTAGGACGGGTAGGAAAAAATGGAATCGAGTACCCGCATGTACTTACCCGAATCGGAATCGAGTACCCGGAAATGTAAGGAATACAGTGCTTCTGTCAACTTTCTGAATATTCAATCACGATTTGACAGAGATTACTATAGAAAACTTATAAGGATGGCAATAAGACATTAAAATAATCTCAAGCTATATAATTTACGTCTGTTTAACCAATATAAAGAGTAACACCATTACTTACATTGCTCGTTAAAATAAACTTTTCGTTCCTGCTGTTACTGTAACTTGACTACTCACTGCTCATGTGCAGATAAATTGCAGTCGTTAATAATAACCTCCATTAATCGGACAATACCAATGATGTAAATGTGTGTTACGTCAATAATGAAAAAGACAAGTTATTATCTGCCCTTGTCATTACAGAGTTCTCTCCCTTTCCGGGTACTCAATTCCTAGAAATAGGACTCGATTCCAGCTGTACCCGATCCGATTCGAAGTACCCAAGTACCTGGCCCCAGCCCTATTAATTACCATCACAATATCGCACGGTCAAATGATTCTCATTTCTAACTTGGTGGCTATATAGGGCTGGGCCATCAGAATTTTATGTTGTACATTCACAGAAGTGTACCTACACTGTTAACTGATAATAGTTTTGTTTTACTCTCATATCTGTTGTACTATCAGCAAGCGCTGGATTTTGGGAGCTGTAAATGTAATCTCAGCATCATGACGAGAACCTCCTGCCTGTAGCTGGGTATTCTTGCTACAGGAATATTTGTCTTACTCTGGCCATTTGAGTGCACGTCATCGGAGCAGTCGCCCATGGCCAGGGAGGCCTCCAGAAGGTTCTCTCCAAGACGGGAGGGCTCCTTACACAGCTTGATGAACTGGTCAAACATGGAGATCTTCTCAATAGGGTTGAACATCATATCTCGAGGGCTGGATGCCCTCATACCTACAAGAATACAGGACATGGAGTCTTGGGAGTCATATTGGCCTTGATACACGCAGGAGTATAATACACCATGTAACATACCTTTATGAGTGAGTGACATCAGGCCTTGAGGGCAAAAGGCCTTCATATCTGCTAAGCGCATGTTATGGGCATATTAAACCTTCCAGAGAGTAGTACACATCAGTACCTTCATAAAAATAGTGTTTCCTTGTTGTTTTTTGTTGAGCCATTTGAAAACAATATAGAACTTATCTTTAAAACACTTAATACAACCAAACTAAAGTTAGAAAACTTGAAAAATTTGGAGAAGAGATATACAAAATATAGTCTAAATCGTGATATGCTCACATAAATAATGAGACATTATTATCTTGGCAGATTGTGGTTTATTTGTTCAGACTCTCTGTCCCTTACATGAAGTGTTGGGGTTCATTAATGTAACTAATCTGTTCACTGACCTTGACCCGACTGTCCTCCCATGCTGACCTTGAGGGCCTTGATGATGGATACAGACAGGAAGCTAGCGACCTGTGACACAAGAAGCAATGTAACATCAAACATTATTCCACATCTCTTCTGCAAAAACTCACAAATTTTGTATTAGTTTCGCTAATCTTTTGTCTTCAATTATTTTAGGAATATTGCTAGATATGTATCAAGAAAATTGGAATGCTTCTGTTCAAAATATAATTAAAAATCAGTCAAAATTGGGATTCAAAAATCCCAACATAAACCTGTCTCAATTTGAAAACAATTTGCACCAGCCTCACATCTATTCCAACTGCAAGCCCACCTATGTAACAGCAATGATACAGTAAGAAAGTTGGTTAGTAACCTGCTCATCTGACAAACAACTGGTGCTCAGATAGTCCCTGGCAAGGATAAACCGCTGGGGATACGATGTCCGCAGTAGCTCATCCAGGACTGAAAACTCCTCTTTATTAACAACTTGTGCATATTCCACATCAAGCACCTGGAAAAAACATTGAACACCTGTAAACATCTTACTACAATAAGTATGATATTTAGCGAAACAACATATATTATCCATTTTCTGTAAACTACACTTCATTTCGATCCGTGAGTAGATGCAATATGATTGTGAATTCTTTGAATAATGTGGACCAAAGTTATAATTATTGGTAACTACCAGTTGTCTGTGGTCTGTGTTTGCTGTGATTAGAACCCCATCGAGGGGGATCAGCTTATGTACGAAACATACCATTTTGACACTGATTTTAAGGGTCAAGTTTGGGGGTTGGCTTATCTATGGGGTCGGCTTATCTACGGTATTAAATGGTAAGCACTCACACCAACTTCTCAAGCACCTTGATACTGTGTATTTACCTACAGAAGAACAAGATATTCAAACCCATGACCATGTACACCTCCCTTGCATTGAGTCTGTCTTGTAACCATACTACTCACACAAACGTTTTGAACACATGACATTGCTACAGAAAGAATTTGAAATGTAAACCTTGCACAACATGATACTCGCTTGATACAGTCTATTTATGTACAGAACACTGTCATGGGTCAACACATACACATGCAACTTTAAATGCGGTTATTATCCTCAGGCAGCACTGTTGCCCATGGTTACAGTGCCCAAGTAGCTTCTCCATGACAACAATGGCATCTTCCTTCTCAACAGGCAGAAAGTCCCAGGATGTAGAGGCAGTTGCCAGACTGACAGCTGAAGTAAGATTCACCATAAGTACATCAGTTGCAGGTTATAGAGAAACATTAATGCATAATGCTTATAATGTACAAAGACAATTGATCAACCATACTACACAAACAAGTTCAACATACCAAATATTTTTAGTGAGTGAGTGAGTTAGTTTTACACTGCACTCAGCAATATTCCAGCTATATGGCGGCAGTCTGTAAACAATCGAGTCTGGACCAGACTATCCAGTGATCAACAGCATGAGCACCGATCTACGCAATTGGGAACCGATGACACGTGTAAACCATGTCAGCGAGCCTGACCACCCGATCCCGTTAGTCGCCTCTTTACGACAAGCATGGATTACTGAAGATCAATATTCTAACCCGGATCTTCACAAGTAAAATATTTTTAGAAAGTTGATCACTCTTCCAGTCATATTGTACAAGAGTCAATTACTGCTCCTCTAGTAGTATCCCCAGCTCCCTCTAGCAGTACAAACTGAACTATCCACCTCCCACGATCAGCTGCATAGCCACAGAAAGTACAAATATTTCTTAACGTAAGGAGTCAGCACTTACAACTTGATGTGCGACTAAAACCAGAAAATGATCCAAGGCTTGACCTTGACCTTCTGTCTATTGTCAGAAGACGCCTTATCTCAGGTTCCATTGTTTCTCGAGTAACAGTGTCATTACTGAGCCGTATACATGTCTGAAACACACCAATATCAGCAACTTTGTATTTGAAAACAACACAATTCAAATACAAGATGCTGTTAACAGAGATGAGGGATGTTATTTTCATGGATGATGGATGCTACTTAAATAGATGGCTACTTACAAAGATGATGGATGCTACTCAAATGGATGGCTACTTACAAAGATGATGGATGCTACTCAAATAGATGGCTACTTCCATGAATGATTGATGCTTCTTAAATAGATGGCTACTTCCATGAATGATTGATGCTTCTTAAATAGATGGCTACTTCCATGAATGATTGATGCTTCTTAAATAGATGGCTACTTACAAGGATGGTGGCAAGATCCTGACTGTAGTGATGAAAGACGCTGGTCACCTGGCAACTCTCACGAATCTTGCCCTCATCAAGTAACTGTCCGATCAGTGAGTTAAGAGCTTGTGTTTCCTGAAACCATCATTGAAGTTGTAACCATGTTACTCAACTGGACAATCATATAGGTTATTCTATGAAGTGATCTATCAGTCATCATAGAACAACTGAGTGAATGAACATATGTTGCGTTACGCAGTATTGACTATATTTTAGAACAAAGAATACTGCAAATGAAGTGCATTTTTTAAATATGAAAACTGAGGCATTGATGGTATAGAGCGTCCCATGTACAGTGTGTTCTAGGTGATGGAGTTAAAGCTGCACCCAGCTTCATTACAATACCTCAGGTGAGACATGTGACTGTCTTCTACTGGGAGGCATCTTTCCCAGGCAGAGAAGCTCGGACTTATCTGCTGATGACTTCCCATTGTCTGTGGCCTCCGTGACAGACAGGATCTCCTCCACAGGCTCGCTACTCTCCTCACTCTCCCCCTATAACAAACAACACACCAACTGCTAAAAGCTACTCTCCTCACTCTCCCCCTATAACACACAACACACCAACTTCTAAAAGTTACTCTCCTCACTCTCCCCCTATAACAAACAACACACCAACTTCTAAAAGCTACTCTCCTCACTCTCCCCTTATCACAAACAACACACCAACTTCTAAAAGTTACTCTCCTCACTCTCCCCCTATAACAAACAACACACCAACTTCTAAAAGTTACTCTCCTCACTCTCCCCCTGTAACAAACAACACACCAACTGCTAAAAGCTACTCTCCTCACTCTCCCCCTATAACAAACAACACACCAACTGCTAAAAGCTACTCTCCTCACTCTCCCCCTGTAACAAACAACACACCAACTTCTAAAAGTTACTCTCCTCACTCTCCCCCTATAACAAACAACACACCAACTTCTAAAAGCTACTCTCCTCACTCTCCCCCTATAACAAACAACACACCAACTTCTAAAAGCTACTCTCCTCACTCTCCCCCTGTAACAAATAACACACCAACTTCTAAAAGTTTGTTTGAGTGGCATTTTAAAAGTTGAGACGTACAATATAGAACAAATTTTATGGATAACAATTTCATTTCATGAGTGCGACATTTCGATACAGATTCTTGTACCGTTGTCCTGCTTGACAATGGTACAAGAATCTGTATCGAAACATTGCACTCCCAAAATATAAAAGTTGTTATCCATAAAATTTATTCTATATTGAACTTCTAAAAGTTTATCATGAATTGTAAAAAGTCACAAATCGAAACATTTCTTCTAGCAAACATTATCAAAGATGTATTGCCATATTACTTTCATTCTTATGAACACTGTAACAGCAATCATCTTGAAATATTCTATAATCATCACCGTGACAACCGTGACCAGCACCACATTGTTTAAGAGAACATTAGAAAATACAGGATAATTTGAAGTAAAGGCAGAAGGAGAAACACACACTGATGCACTTCAATATGATCCAGTCATTGTGACTCCTATGGGTCAGTATGCACACACTATCTTTTGTTGTGAGATCTTGATCTGTATGGGTCAGTATGCACACACTACCTTTTGGCCTGTATGGGTCAGTATGCACACATTACCTTTTGTTGTGAGATCTTGGCCTGTATGGGTCAGTATGCACACACTACCTTTTGTTGTGAGATCTTGGCCTGTATGGGTCAGTATGCACACACTACCTTTTGTTGTGAGATCTTGGCCTGTATGGGTCAGTATGCACACATTACCTTTTGTTGTGAGATCTTGGCCTGTATGGGTCAGTATGCACACACTACCTTTTGTTGCGAGATCTTGGCCTGTATGGGTCAGTATGCACACACTACCTTTTGTTGTGAGATCTTGGCCTGTATGCGACAGTGCCACATCTGTCTGTGAACCCGGTCATACAGGCTGTCTGTGTCCTCGCTGCCGGTCATCAGTTCCAGACACAGCTGGTAGGTACCGGCCTTCTCACTCATGCTGCCAATTGCTTCTGCTTCCAGCTGTAAACAAACGCAACATCTCTTTTTATTTCAGCATATGGATAGTTGTCGGATCATGAGGCTCTGAAGCTCACCTACATTGTTTCCTACATGAATCATGAAAGATCAAATTCCACATAAGTTTGAAATTTTGTGGGCTCTTGGTTCAGCTTATGTAAAAACTGAATTGTGTTGTAGAGCGTGAATAGAGTAGTCAGTATGTTACTTTTCTAACATACAAATATATCAACTACACTTGTAGTTAAGCCTTTGCAGTCCTGACATACAGACATTGATTAAATAATCTACAGAAGTTTCATGTCTCAGTGAACTCAGTGAATATTCAGTCTGATCATGTACTTTATCCTCTCTATTTCCAATGTTTAAAAAGTGACCACTTGTTTAATCTTACTTTGAAGAAATCTATGACACTAGATGGCGAGATCTGATTCAGTCTGAACTTTTCCGCACATGACCTCCAGAACCGGGCCCTGGCAACCTTTGACCTCCACACCAGAGTCTTCTCTAACATCTCTTTCTCTGTTAACATCTGAAGGTAAAACGCATGCTCATTGCATAGTTTGTCCACAAAGAACATTTCAAGTCCTGAGTCAAAGTGGCTGACTAGTTGATCCTCCTCCTGAACAGTGAAAGATATTACTACTCACGTAGTGAACCAACAGATGGTAAGAAACGAAACTCTTACAACAAACGTTTGATGTACAAAGTTGACCTGTCTTGTAGGATGAGTGAGTTTAGTTTTACGCCACTTTTAGCATTATTCCAGCAATATCACGGCGGGGGACACCAGAAATGGGCTTCACACATTGTACCCATGTGAGAAATCGAACCAAGGTCTTCGGCGTGACGAGCTAAAGCTTTAATCACTAGGCTATCCCACTGCCCTGTCTTGTATGGATTTGAGCGTGATTCTCATGGTTACACTGGATCATTATGGTCACACCACAATCCAGTACCACTTGTTCATTATCGCCAATCACAGTGTGATACTGTCTAGTGATACTGATGTCACAGCATCTGTACCTCAACTTAACCTCTGCTCTTGCTCTCGTTGGTGTTATCGCAATGTGGAGTGGAGATGACCGTAACGTCTTCACAAGTATACTGTCAGAAGTTTATTTTTGTTCTTCTCATGCAAGTTTGTTTTCACGAACACCTGGTGTCTGAGTGTGTTTAAGGGATCCACTCATATAGTTCCACTGCTACTTTGCTTCTCACGCTATCTGTCTTCCGGGATAATCGAGGCTTGTTACTCCTTGTTATTGACGCCATACATTTACAGGTTGGGGTGTTTCTAACAACCAAGATAGGTTATAACCCTAACCAAGAACATATTCATCCCATACTTTTAACAAGAGTTATTGGAGAAGCAATACATAATCATGGATTGTCTGTTCTGCCATAAAGAGACCCCTTGAGCCAAACATGAGTGGATGTTACCTCCTTCAAGGTGATGTCGTCACAGGACAGGTTAGAGAGCCGGGCGAACTTGTACGCATCACCAAATGCCTTCCTCTCAATCAGCAGGTTGATGGTCTTCTCCATCTCTCTACGACTGCCATCTATCTGCTGTAGGAATGCTGGGAAGGCCACTGTGTCCAGCTGGTTGGCATGCAGGATACGCACTAACTTATGGAGGCGGCTGTAGTCGGGCACTGTCATGGAAATGAAAACCTCATATAAAGTCATATTCTTCTTTGTTATAGAACAGCCATTGATAATGTATCCACCACACTAATAAATAGAGAGCAGAAGGCTTCTTCTGTTCAACAACATAGAGTAACCTGACACAGTTGATATTTTCAACTTTTTTGGGCCATGAGATGAGACAAAGCTTTTACTTGGCAAGAACTAATGAACATTTTATTTATTATGGGTTTTCCAGTGATGATTATGATTATTTTTTGTAAACCGTACAGTGATTAGTTCCAACAGAAAGTAGGTGTCATACCATCAAAACTGAAGACAAGAGCAATATTTTCTTGATCCAATAATTTGACGAGTTGCAGTGCCTGATACAGATTGGAAGTGTGACGCAACTGACGTTGTAGCAGCCGATTGGCTGTCATTTCTAGCCAATGGGAGTTCCCCAAAATTAACTGCTGTGAAGATTCCAATTTTCCCTCAGGGTACTGCAATGTAAAAAGACAACGCCATCTTCATTTCAAAAGTACACCCCAATAAAATTCTAGAATATAGAAAAACTTAATTAACTTAATTATCAATTATATGATGTGTAATGACATCATAGATAATACTCATCATCAACAACAAGACTAATGAGCTGATATGTATACCATTCTTAATGATACCATGGATTATTTTACACATTATTGTATCGTCACTATATGGCTGAAATATTGCCGAGGTGACGTTAAATTTTAACTCACTCACTCACATTATTGGAAATGTGCAAAAAGGTGGGCAGTTGGCACATAAGTGAGATAATAAACATGACATAACAGCTGATGCACAGAAGTACAGACCTTACAAAGTGAAATTGTTGCAATAGTGTACACTAAGGAAACTAGAGGTTGACAGCATGAGGGACAACCAATGATGACACCATCTTATGTCACGCAATCAGCTGGGAATGTCATCATAACATCATTAATCATCATTTGATGGTTCCAACCATCCAGGGTTGCACAGTTTTATCCCCGATATGTATCTTCATTGAGGATTAGATCATGTTTAATAACTAATTAGATCATGAAATACACTGGCACCTTCACTCTCCAATAGTCTGGAGCTCTGGTGTAGGCTAATTTAGCATTCTCTTCACAGAGCAAATACAAACATTCAAGAGCATGCATAGCTTCATAATTTGGCAATAATTATTACATTTGACATTGCATCCTTGAAATCACAAAGAAGACCAGTGCAGATGCTGTAGTTCCTTCCCTGTGTTAATTCAGCCAGGAACTTCAAAAACGGGAGCAGTGGTGAGTTCTGAAACAAAAGCAAGAACACGCAATTGATTGGTTTAACTAGCCCAATCCTATCTGTCACTCTGTAGTTTTACAAACCTGCTCAATCCTATCTGTCACTCTGTAGTTTAACAAACCTGCTCAATCCTATCTGTCACTCTGTAGTTTAACAAACCTGCTCTGTAGTTTAACAAACCTGCCAAATCCTATCTGTCACTCTGTAGTTTAACAAACCTGCTCTGTAGTTTAACAAACCTGCCAAATCCTATCTGTCACTCTGTAGTTTAACAAACCTGACACTATGTTACTAGTAGGCATGAAAAAAGGTTTTAACAAATTAAGACATAAAAACGTTTTAGCTTGAGCATGCTGAGCCATTGTTTCACCATAAATCTACAACAAACTTTTGACATGAAAAGTCTTGATACTTACGGTTTGAAATATGTCAAATCCTGTAGCAAGAGTATATTCCCAATGTTTGCCAATGTAAAGGTCAATCAGAATTTCAAGCTCTGCCATATTCCAAACTGAGGCTGATTTCCCATGAGCCTCTAGGAACTGAGCATGCTCAGTACGATCCATCATGGCCACCAACCATCCACACAAACAGCCAGCCACTGAAGCATCCTAAATATCAAAAGCATGAAGTGGAACTAAAACAATTATACGTACCATAACTATGATCAGTCTCAGTTAAAGCAGAGCTACTATACCAATGTAATACCTCTGTGCATGAAGAACTGAGGAACTTTCTGATCAGGCAATCAGCATTGAGGCTTCTACACTCTCACTCTCAGACTGAAGGATGTATTCAGATCTAGATATCTGATTTCCATGTTTAGAACACAAACTGGACATTCCTTCTCTGAATTTACACAGCGAAAGTTAAATCTATATATTGTACACGCCCATTCATTTCTAGACCCAAAAGGGGGTAACCTCAAAGAAATATTTGTGTTCTTTGTGAGTTTCCTTTAGAAGAAAAAAAACTTTTGGAATTGAGATAGTAAAAAAATATATGACAGGCACAAGTGCTTCCTTCATTTAGACTAGCAAGTAACAGATGACTGACAGTACCTTCTATGACTGTGTCTTCTGATCTTCTTGCAGTAAGGTATTGTATTGAAGTAGTAGTATAGGGAATAGCGGAACGGGACCACATATATGCACCATGCCTAGGAGCTCCATACTAGCTAATTCGGCTCCCAGAGTCACAAAAAAATTAGTGTTTTTCACAAAACTATATCGAACCACTTTTCGTCTCCTGACGCAAGTGCACTCGAATTAGAGATATGCAGGTGTATGGATATAGAGGAAAAAAAATGCCAGGAACCAAGCTATCGCGCGAAGCCTATGCCGATATCCGATCTGGTCGTTTGTCCCTTTGGAGGAGGAAAGGAGGAATGGAGTTGTAGACTTGTCTAGGCCCGTTTTCGTATTCCAACTGCTTTTCGTGGAATTCATGGTACGGAAAGTAGGGCGTGTGCCTGGACGAAAAAACCCAAACGCATGGTTTGAATACCCTACTACAATACTTTTTTTCCAAATAGGCTGCATTCCACACATCGACTTCTCTACTCCATTTGGAAGGGGTCCCTAGTAGTTTTTGGCGTTTCTGTCCTTGTCTTGTCGGCCAGTGTGCAGTGCTTCCTTAGAAACAAGGCGACCTTCCATAGAAACAAGGCGGCTATCGAAAGGTAGGTCCACTCTTGCATCGATTCTACCATCTGCCACACCTTCTGGATATCCAGATGCTTCTCTTCTTGTTCCTCCTCTACGCTTTCTATTTCCTCCTGGAGTTGTTCGTCATCGTCGTCCTTGTCCAGCCCAGACAAGATGTCGACCAACATAGTCGTGGTTTGATCCGCATGAGCCGACAACATCGCCGAGTTTTGCTCCACACGAGCCGACAACATAGTCGCATTTTGCTCCACACTAGCCGAGACAACATAGTCGTGTTTTGCTCTACACGAGCCTCAATCTTCCCCAGACAATCGTAGAAGTCCTGGATGGTCAGATTTGGAGCTGTCTCGCTAGCAGGCAAGATGGTCGACGGTTCTGCAGCAGGCAATATGGTTGTGCTGGAGTGCGACGCTGGAGCTATCTCGCTGGCAGGCAAGAGGGTCGAAGGGTCGGCAGGGCTTTGATCTCCTTTTTGCATAGTCCTGCTCGTTCTTCCTGGATTTGTATTTCCTTTTGTAGTGCCTTTTTTGCTCTTCATCGCCAATTTTCTGCCTTCTCGGACTTCAGTAGCTCCAGCAATGTTCTTCCTCACGTTTGTGTAGCCGGAGTAGAAATTTTGCGATTGGCGGCTATGTTAGGCATTTTTTGGAAAGGTTGGTCGGATCCTCCTCTGTCCAGCTTTTGGCATTTCTTCTGTCTCCATTGCCATTCGATGTGTGGAGTTGGCGGTAGAAATACACATGGATCCATGCCGGATGGATGTTGAGCTGTTGGCTTCTAGCTTATAGAAGCTATACCTGCTCGGTCTCTGGGAGCAGCAAATCGACTTCTCGATCGTCTTTCCGATATGGGAGAGTGGCAGATTTTGCCAAGCCTGCACAGAAACGGTCCACCCACAAACTGTAGATTTTCCATTCCGCCAGCATCTCGAACCTTTCCTCGTATCTTGTAGCCTTAGACCGGAATCGTTTCTCCAGTCGGCGAATCGAGTAGCAGCAATAGTCGGTTCTTCCCTTCGTATTTCGCTACGGCAAACTTATTGCACGTGTAGATTCCTTCCGGAACTTCTGCGGCTTTTCGGTGTTCGTTGCACGGGGCTGCCACTTCCATATCCTTGGACCCGCTGTAGTCCCTGTGGCGGCTCTACTTTTCCCGATAGCTGCCGGAAGATACAAGAATCTTTCTCGCATGGACAATTGTCCACCAGTTTGTCGAGGAGGTGTTGGTATCGCAGGCACCAGAAGAGGCAGTCGTCGTCGTACAGGTTCTCTATGTTCGAGAACAGTAGGGGATCGCGATTTCTTCCAGAACCTCGAGTGGAAGTTGCTCCTGTGGTGTGTAGTCTATCGCTTTCTTTTTCTCCAGAGAACGCATTTCTTGCTGCCGATGCAGTGGTCGATGGCGCCACACTTGCATGTAGAGTTGTCTGGTTCCAAGAGAGTGGGGAGTTTCGATATAGATATAGATATAGATATAGATATAGATATAGATCCTCCTCGCTTCCCGAAGGGACAAACGACCAGATCGGATATCGGCATAGGCTTCGCACGATAGCTTGGTTCCTGCCATTTTTATTTTCTATATCCATACACCCGCATATCTCTAATTCGAGTGCACTTGCGTCAGGAGACGAAAAGTGGTCCGATATAGTTATGTGAAAAACACACAAAAAATTGTGACTGTGGGAGCCGAATTAGCTAGTATGGAGCTCCTAGGCATGGTGCATCTATGCGGTCCAGTTCCGCTTTTCCCTATACTACTGAAGTAAAAGCTTTAACCTTCATGACCCTGAACTTTTTTGCAATAAAATGCAAACTGATTTCATGATTTACATGACTTTGTTTACGATTATTGTAAACAGTTTCAGAACTGAAAATTAGTGATTATTATGATGTCCTTGACAAGAACACAGGTCACAATATCAAGTAAAAGTGAACTCTGCTATAACAACAAGGTACCTCTTGACATGCAGCCAGTTCAGCAAACAGAGAGTTACGGAGGACAACAGATGCTTGTAGGAGGGACTTCCATGGAGAGGCGGCCGCCTGTGACGAGAACACCACTTGGAACACATCCTCCCCCGCCGACTCTTCCGTCAACGTCAGGTCAACTACAACAATCAGAGCGTCACATTAACTACAACAGTCAGAGGGTCAGGTCAGCTACAACAGTCAGAGGATCAGGTCAGTTACAACAGTCAGAGGGTCAGGTCAACTACAACAGTCAGAGGGTCAGATCAGCTACAACAGTCAGAGGATCAGGTCAGTTACAACAGTCAGAGGGTCAGGTCAACTACAACAGTCAGAGGGTCAGATCAGCTACAACAGTCAGAGGATCAGGTCAGTTACAACAGTCAGAGGGTCAGGTCAACTACAACAGTCAGAGGATCAGGTCAGTTACAACAGTCAGAGGGTCAGGTCAACTACAACAGTCAGAGGATCAGGTCAGCTACAACAGTCAGAGGGTCAGGTCAACTACAACAGTCAGAGGGTCAGGTCAACTACAACAGTCAGAGGGTCAGGTCAACTACAACAGTCAGAGGGTCAGGTCAACTACAACAGTCAGAGGGTCAGGTCAACTACAACAGTCAGAGGATCAGGTCAGTTACAACAGTCAGAGGGTCAGGTCAGCTACAACAGTCAGAGGGTCAGGTCAACTGCAACAGTCAGAGGATCAGGTCAGTTACAACAGTCAGAGGGTCAGGTCAACTACAACAGTGAGAGGGTCAGATCAGTTACAACAGTCAGAGGATCAGGTCAGCTACAACAGTCAGAGGGTCAGGTCAACTACAACAGTCAGAGGGTCAGGTCAACTACAACAGTCAGAGGGTCAGGTCAGTTACAACAGTCAGAGGGTCAGGTCAGCTACAACAGTCAGAGGGTCAGGTCAGCTACAACAGTCAGAGGGTCAGGTCAGCTACAACAGTCAGAGGATCAGGTCAACTACAACAGTCAGAGGGTCAGGTCAGCTACAACAGTCAGAGGATCAGGTCAACTACAACAGTCAGAGGGTCAGGTCAACTACAACAGTCAGAGGGTCAGGTCAACTACAACAGTCAGAGCGTCACATCAACTACAACAGTCAGAGGGTCTGGTCAACTACAACAGTCAGAGCGTCACATCAACTACAACAGTCAGAGGGTCAGGTCAACTACAACAGTCAGAGGGTCTGGTCAGCTACAACAGTCAGAGGATCAGGTCAGTTACAACAGTCAGAGGATCAGGTCAACTACAACAGTCAGAGGGTCAGGTCAGCTACAACAGTCAGAGGATCAGGTCAGCTACAACAGTCAGAGGGTCAGGTCAACTACAACAGTCAGAGGGTCAGGTCAACTACAACAGTCAGAGGGTCAGGTCAGCTACAACAGTCAGAGGGTCAGGTCAGCTACAACAGTCAGAGGGTCAGGTCAGCTACAACAGTCAGAGGGTCAGGTCAACTACAACAGTCAGAGGGTCAGGTCAACTACAACAGTCAGAGGGTCAGGTCAGCTACAACAGTCAGAGGATCAGGTCAACTACAACAGTCAGAGGATCAGGTCAGCTACAACAGTCAGAGGATCAGGTCAGCTACAACAGTCAGAGGGTCAGGTCAGCTACAACAGTCAGAGGGTCAGGTCAGCTACAACAGTCAGAGGGTCAGGTCAGCTACAACAGTCAGAGGATCAGGTCAGTTACAACAGTCAGAGGGTCTGGTCAGCTACAACAGTCAGAGGATCAGGAGGATCAGGTCAGCTACAACAGTCAGAGGATCAGGTCAACTACAACAGTCAGAGGATCAGGTCAGCTACAACAGTCAGAGGATCAGGTCAGCTACAACAGTCAGAGGGTCAGGTCAACTACAACAGTCAGAGGGTCAGGTCAGCTACAACAGTCAGAGGATCAGGTCAGTTACAACAGTCAGAGGGTCTGGTCAGCTACAACAGTCAGAGGATCAGGTCAGTTACAACAGTCAGAGGATCAGGTCAGCTACAACAGTCAGAGGATCAGGTCAGCTACAACAGTCAGAGGGTCAGATCAACTACAACAGTCAGAGGGTCTGGTCAGCTACAACAGTCAGAGGATCAGGTCAACTACAACAGTCAGAGGATCAGGTCAACTACAACAGTCAGAGGGTCAGATCAACTACAACAGTCAGAGGGTCTGGTCAGCTACAACAGTCAGAGGGTCAGGTCAGTTACAACAGTCAGAGGATCAGGTCAACTACAACAGTCAGAGGATCAGGTCAGCTACAACAGTCAGAGGGTCAGGTCAACTACAACAGTCAGAGGATCAGGTCAACTACAACAGTCAGAGGGTCAGGTCAACTACAACAGTCAGAGGATCAGGTCAACTACAACAGTCAGAGGGTCAGGTCAACTACAACAGTCAGAGGGTCAGGTCAGCTACAACAGTCAGAGGGTCAGGTCAGCTACAACAGTCAGAGGGTCAGGTCAACTACAACAGTCAGAGGGTCAGGTCAACTACAACAGTCAGAGGATCAGGTCAACTACAACAGTCAGAGGATCAGGTCAACTACAACAGTCAGAGGGTCAGGTCAGCTACAACAGTCAGAGGGTCAGGTCAGTTACAACAGTCAGAGGGTCAGGTCAACTACAACAGTCAGAGGGTCAGGTCAGCTACAACAGTCAGAGGGTCAGGTCAACTACAACAGTCAGAGGGTCAGATCAACTACAACAGTCAGAGGGTCTGGTCAGCTACAACAGTCAGAGGATCAGGTCAGTTACAACAGTCAGAGGGTCTGGTCAGCTACAACAGTCAGAGGGTCAGGTCAGCTACAACAGTCAGAGGGTCAGGTCAGCTACAACAGTCAGAGGGTCAGGTCAGCTACAACAGTCAGAGGGTCAGGTCAGCTACAACAGTCAGAGGGTCAGGTCAGCTACAACAGTCAGAGGGTCAGGTCAGATACAACAGTCAGAGGGTCACTGTAGTTTATTATTATTCCATGTGAAGGCCTTTTAAAGACAGGCAGAAGGTTTTTCAAGCCTGGGGTTAACCCTGGATGATGTTTTCTCTGCTCACCTGGCTGTGTTTGATCCTGAGCCAGTACCTCTCCCTGGGTGGAGGTCAAGCTAGCATGGTCCTCCTCATCACTGCTTGCATTACCTGAACAGAAAACATTGTTACCATGGTCATATCTTGCATACAACATTAAGAGTGGTGCAGATGACTCAACCTGCCTTTGACAGGCCAATTGTTTGATACTGAATACAGGAAAATTCATTCCTGTCCACTAGGCCTAGACAACTAAGTCTGACAGAAACTGTAAACATGGTTATTTGTCTCTCAAGCAGAACCAAACACAAAATCTGAAGTCTAGAAGTCTGTAAACCTCAAAATATGCTAAAAAAAATCCCCTGAATTCCAAAGGCATTGACAACATGTTAAGGACAAATCACTGTACCTCTCCCCTTTGATAGGCCAATCTTAGCATAAAGTGAGGATCTGGCATCCTTCGCAGAGCCCCTTGTCTGAGTGTCACTGGGTGTTTCGGACAACTTCCTTCGCAACATGACAGACTTTGCATCTGCATTTTCTATGACATAGTGGAGGTGTTCGCGTAGATGTCGACTGCGGAACTGGTGAAGCAGGCCCTGCAACTGATCAACACATTTGGCAATAGTCATGGATAAATCAAGGAAAAATGTCACCAAATTCAAATCACTTCTTCAGTACCGAGTGTGCCAAACCTGTTGTTTAGGGAACTGATGCAGCTGGGCAAACCAGAGGAAGGGCAGCCATTTATCAGCATGGGCACATTCCTCCAGGAACACAGTGGACAGAGGTAGATGGAGCAGGTGGCAGAGGGTCACGGTCAACAGCCACTGGTGGGCAGCCTCGAAACTTGTACTGGCAAGACAGGCAAACACACATCTCACACATCAGTAATGATAAACCGAGTGATTCAGCATCCTTTGTATGCAAAACAGTTCTCATAAACTACAGCTGATTTCAACTTCATGACATTCGTGAATGCTGCTCAAAGATACATAAATGTCTGCCCCTTCACGGAATATTCCCATGTTTTATTCGAAAATGAGGGAAAGTTAGTTCTGGATCAGGTACATGGGAAGTAACACAAAGCTTTTGGTGAGGGATGCTCAACACAGACACAGACACAGACATAATCTACTGTGGTAGGACTTAACATGTTTGTGTGATTTCCATGATAACAAAATACTCAACATTTAGGGATGACTCATTTTGGAAGGAAGAAGGAAAATAATTGAGGTTGTAATATTTTTCTTGTGAAGTAATTTTCTTAAGATTGAGATTGTGAAGAGTAAGTTTCTTAAGCTTGAAAACTAAGCCTTGACTTGACACAGGTGACCCTGTTGGATGCCCAGGTCCCCAGTGAAGCAAGGACTGCTACCAACCTGTTGATGCCCTTCTTGATGATGCTGTCTGCAGTAGCCTTCTCCAAGGCTTCCACCACACTGGGGCCGTTCCTTCTCCGCCGCCTTACACAGTTCAGCAGGAGGTCCACTGTACAACGGAACGGTGAATGTGGTTTCATTGACAAGTATTAAATGTAGAGTATGGTTAATAGTGCTGGTATTGGCATACAACCTGCGATACGATACATCATGATTCTAAAAGTTTAGTAACAGCGATATATTGCCAAAGTATTGTTCACTGAAGCTGCGATACGATACGAATCCCGATACAAGGGTGTCGATACGATCACAATACTAAAGCTTAATTCTAACACCAACTATAAAACACTTTAAGATCAAAACAAAACCACTTGAAAGTATTTCATCAAATTCCGCCAGCTTTTTTTACTGTTCATTCGGAAATGAGATAATTACGTTTATACACGGACTAATAAAATGCGAGCGCTATGTTTGACATAGTTCCTGATGCAAGCATTTCCTTATGAAGGGAAAATAAGTATGCATATATTTTAATCATTAAACAAAAGTAATTTTTTCTTGACAGATATCGGGCTTTGGCAATATTCAAAGTAAAACATCGATGTATTGTGGCCCATTTGAAGTATCGTATCGGGATATACGACTATGTAAACCTTTGTATCGATTCATTGTATCGGTGGCCCATGGATCGATGCATCGATGCATATCGATGAATCGTCACACCACTAATGGTTAAGAGTACAAGTTACGAGTGCTTGCATACTTCAAAATCCTTGCATCAGAATTTATCATGTTATCTGTTTTGTAAAGATATTAAGATATTTCTATAATTTTACAGCTGACATTAATAATGACATACAGTCAATACAGCTGGTGTAAAGGACAATACTGATCACTAATGTACACTGGTATGCATGTAACAAGTGAACAGTCAGTGAGGCATCTTGCTGAATTTGTTACTACTCCAGTAGGGGTAGAGTTTCAGTGTGCTGCTGACAAATGATAGGAACAAGCTCTATCCATCTGCCATGTTTCATTTCCAGAGCATGAACTCTTAAACTATCCTTTTTTTTTTTAACTGGATACTTATATAGCGCACATATCCCCACAACTAGTACATGCTCAAGGTGCTGGTATTTTAACTATTCAATATTTCTTCATGAAACAAGGGCTGCACTTGTGCATTTTGCTATTCTGGTGTTATTCTATTATTTTGCAAATAGAACAAAGGCAACAAATTTGGCTGAAGTTCAGATGAAGGTAGGGTTTATTTAGGGAACACTCTTTAACTGTTCAATATTCCCTGTTGAAACTGTGTACAACAGCATAGGAATCTGTATCGAAACGTCTCACTCATGAAAATAAAAGAAGTTGTTATCCACAGGCAGCTTGGGTTATCCAGGGTAATAATAATTAGATTGTTTGGGCACTCCGAGCATGCATTGTGCACGGAGCAATGCATATGATAAATGGACTAGTATTATCATTATTATTAATATTGCACTTCCCAACTTCTAAAATGCAACTCAAAGATGTTGATTTGAATGTATAGAAAGCGTTTAAGAAACAGAAATAATTAAATTCATTTTGTCTTTAATGAACATTTGATCCTGCCAAGGTTCTTCACAAGGTCACTATCATTTTATGTTCCACCATTGTAACATGACTGAGACACAGTGAAGACAGAAAATCAGATCATATCCAATTCTTCTTACCCACTTCTTCTTCATTTGTGTGCATCAACTCCTTCCTCTTGTCAATGGTACCCATAATGCCATTGTTCTTGTAGGCGAGAATCTCCACACCTACTTGAATGTATGTTCGCAGTGGCAGGCTGTCCTGGTCAATCATCTCCACAAACGTTACACATGCACTTGTGATTTCGGCACTGGTGAAGTTCTTCACTGCCATCCATAATGCCACTCCACACACCGTGTTTATCCTGAGAGATGAAGTGCAAGTACATTCATCTACAGCAGCATATTTATCCCAGCCTATCGTTATCATTGTCAGCCATAGTGCATGACTCTACACTTCATTATCAATATCTGCTTCAATGCACCCATCAATATATCATCAGAATTGATCTTCAGTAACCCATTAGCTTGTCTTCAGTAACCCATGCTTGTCGACCGACTACGGCGAGATCGGATGGTCAGGCTCACTGACTTGCTTGACACATGTCATCAGTTCACAATTAATCGATGCTCATGCTCATGTTGATGATCACTTGTTGATCACTCTGGTCCAGACTCGATTATTTACAGACCGCCGCCACATAGCTGGAATATTGCTGAGTGCGGCATAAAACTAAACTCACTCACTCACTATTGACACTAATCTAAATGTCATTATCAGATATAAACACCAGTCTATACATCATTATCAGCTATAAAGCCAGACCATATATCATTATTATTTTCATCTCAAATGCACTGATTTACACAATCATTATCAGCCATAAAACACCAGTCAGTATATCAGTATGATCTATAACACCCTGGTTTACATATCATTACTATCTATAATGCACCCTATTCATCATATCATTATTATCTATAACACCCTCCATATCATTTACCTATCTACATGGTATATATCATTACTATCTCAGCTTTAAAAACACCCTCGTTTATATCATTTCATTGTCTACATTTGCTGTAACACAATGGTTTACTATCTAGCAATATCATTACTATCTACAGTCTATATACCATTGTATATCATTTAAAATGTTTAATGGACATTGTTGGATGTCTATCTATATGAAATCTATCATCAAAAACAAAACAACAAATTATCTACATGCAACAGTCTATTCATCATTATCATTATTATCTATAACACACTGGTATATATATCATTCTCAGCTATAAAAATATATTTCATTGTCTATATTTTCGCTGTAAGAAAATGGGTCAGCAATAGAGCACCCAGTCTATATACCACTGTATAGTTATGTTTAATGGACATTGTTGGATGTCTTCAGATGGAAATCTGTACAAAAACAAAACTGTCCCTCTATTTCACAAAACCAAACTAAAACCATGGCCTGCTGGATCCAAAGAGCGAGCTATCAGGATGTATTCAGCCATGAACCAGCTAACGCAAGCTCTGATTTCCCAAGTGTATTGGTTAGCTGTTCTAAGATCCTATGTGGAGGAACTCGAAAAATTCCTCATCAAGGGTGCAGATACATGGATGGTGAATTGTGAGTCTTGTACTGCCTTTAAATCTAGCAGTGAGAGTCTGTCAACAAGCCTAAGTTTGTTCAACTGAACTAAAAGTGGTTGAAGATTTGATGGGTGCTTGGCCAAGGTAGCCTACACTGTATACGAGTAGAGGTTATAGGGGCTAAACAACCCACATACTCAGGATCCAAACACTCTCAGCATCATTGTCCCACTGTGAGATTATACCTTTTGAAAATATCAGGTGGACAAACTGACTCTTGCTTCAAGTGTTATTTTGGGCAAGAACTGAGGTATTCTCATAATGACAAATGATTTCTAGCGAGGAATCCTTCTGATTTTGACCATCACTTTCCAACTAAGTATCTGTGCAACTTACCTCTTGTTACTAATAGTTGTTGCCCCTGAGTCAATCTCCTCTGCCAGGAAGGAGAGAAAGGCATATGTAGGTCGACCATGTTTGGAGGTAGTATATGTAGCGGATCTTCTCAGAGTAGGCAAACTGAGACACCAGGTGGGACTGGGAGAATGCGACCCGAAAACTCTGGCACTCTGTAGAAATACACATTGATCATGTTCAACTTGTTTGGTTGTTTACTGCTTCAGGGCACATGCAACAACAGCCCAACTAAATGAGGGCAGCTTGGAAATAATTGAGTTTGACTGAGGCCATGGAGTGATTGACGTTATGAACACTGCTCCACGTTGGTATGATACTAGCAATCAGTCAAATATCCAGCAAGCCTCTCTTACAACAAGCATTTGTATCTTACTGGGGGCCTACTGGGTAGTTTCTACTGAGTGTACATCATAGACTCCCTTGTAGACAATCATTGCAAGTCAAGCATGCATCAGGTTGTGTTATATATGGTGTGTATGCAGTATGTGGCATCATGTGATTTGTAATCAATATGTAATTATTGCATTGTATCATGTGTGTATGGTATTGTATTGTGTGATGTTGTATTATGTGATTTATGTGTGATATTGTATTGTGTGATTGTGCACATGGTAATGTATTGTATCATGTGAGGTGTGTGATGATGTATTGTGATTGTGCACATGGTAATGTATTGTATCATGTGATGTGTGTTGTATTGTATTATGTGTGATGTGTGTGATATTGTATTATGTGATTGTGTATATGGTAATGTATTGTATCATGTGATGTGTGTGATGTTGTATTATTAATGATTGTGTATATGGTATTGTATTGTATCATGTGATGCTAGTGGTATTGCATTGTGATTTATGTGTGATATTGTATTGTGTGATTGTGCACATGGTAATGTATTCTATCTTGTGAGGTGTGTGGTATTTTATTGTGTGATTTGTGTGTGGTATTGCATTGTGATTGTGTATATGGTATTGTATTGTGTGATGTTGTATTGTGTGATTTGTGTGTGATATTGTATTGTGTGATTGTGTACATGGTAATGTATTGTATCATGTGAGGTGTGTGGTGTTGTATTGTGTGATGTGTGATGTTGTGTGTGATTTATGTGTGATATTGTATTATTGTGATTGTGTACATGGTAATGTATTGTATCATGTGAGGTGTGTGGTATTTTATTGTGTGATGTATGTGATGTTGTATTGTGTGATTTATGTGTGATATTGTATTGTGTGATTGTGTACATGGTAATGTATTGTATCATGTGAGGTGTGTGGTATTTTATTGTGTGATGTGTGTGCTAGGCCTACCTTCTCCAGCTTACCCATGAAGATCCGGATTAGAATTGATCTTCAGCAACACATGCTTGCTGTAAGAGGCGACTAACAGGATTGGGTGGTCAGGCTCACTGACTGGGTTGACACATGTCATTGTATCCCAATTCACGTGAGATCGATGCTCATTTTGTTGTTGATCACTGGATTGTCTGGTCAGACTTCGATTATTTACAGACCGTGGCCATATAGCTGGAATATTGCTGAGTGTGGTGTAAAACTAAAGTCAGCACTAACTCACCTTCTCCAGCTACTGTGTTTCCATCCTGCCAACAAACAATCGCGTCTTGGGTCCTAGTGAGGCGCACTTCCCTGAAAAAGAACCATGAGCAACTATTACCCACGCGTTTCCAAATATTGTATTCCTGAATAACATTGTTCAGTCCTTATTTGTCACTCAGAAGTCTTGTGAATACACACTCATAGGGTTCCCTTGGGCTGAACTAGCAGCTGGCAGCCCGCGCATGGGTGGTAGGTGAGATAACTCTGAGTAGTGGGGGACATAGAACAATACATAACAAGTTTAATGTTTGTACACAGGACATTTTCAGCAGCAAGAAAATGCATATATGTACTTTCCAAATAAGATGTCTTCTGAAAGAAAGAATGAGTCTTCTCATATCTTTCTGCCAACACCTTTACCTCTCTCCTCCTATTGACTGCCAACACCTTTACCTCTCTCCTCCTATTGACTGCCGACACCTTTACCTCTCTCCTCCTATTGACTGCCGACACCTTTACCTCTCTCCTCCTATTGACTGTCAACACCTTTACCTCTCTCCTCCCATTGACTGCCACACCTTTACCTCTCTCCTCCTATTGACTGTCAACACCTTTACCTCTCTCCTCCCATTGACTGCCAACACCTTTACCTCTCTCCTCCCTGCCCACACCTTTACCTCTCTCCTCCTATTGACTGCCAACACCTTTACCTCTCCTCCTATTGACTGCCAACACCTTTACCTCTCCTCCTATTGACTGCCGACACCTTTTACCTCTCCTCCTATTGACTGCCAACACCTTTACCTCTCTCCTCCTATTGACTGCCAACACCTTTACCTCTCTCCTCCTATTGACTGCCAACACCTTTACCTCTCTCCTCCCATTGACTGCCGACACCTTTACCTCTCTCCTCCTATTGACTGTCAACACCTTTACCTCTCTCCTCCTATTGACTGCCAACACCTTTACCTCTCTCTCCCATTGACTGCCAACACCTTTACCTCTCTCCTCCTATTGACTGCCGACACCTTTACCTCTCTCCTCCTATTGACTGTCAACACCTTTACCTCTCTCCTCCCATTGACTGCCGACACCTTTACCTCTCTCCTCCCATTGACTGCCGACACCTTTACCTCTCTCCTCCTATTGACTGTCAACACCTTTACCTCTCTCCTCCTATTGACTGTCAACACCTTTGCTCTCTCCTCCTATTGACTGCCGACACCTTTACCTCTCTCTCCTATTGACTGTCAACACCTTTACCCTCTCCTCCTATTGACTGTCAACACCTTTTTACCTCTCTCCTCCTATTGACTGCCAACACCTTTTACCTCTGCTCCTATTGAATAACAGCCTTACAACCCAAATACTACCAAAATACATTGAAAACCATTCTGCAGAAGCTTAACAGTTAATAACCATCTGTGTATACATGATATATATTACTCCTGACAACAAAACATCCATGACAGCTGAAAAATAACCAATAAAACTTCCAGAATAAAAGCTGAGAAAAGCAAATTATGAAAACTATCTGTAGCGTGTATTCACCATGTTTTGATGACAGCCCATACGTTCAGTGTGAGGGAGTGGATGTGGTTATAGATGATTCAACTGTAATATACTACTCACACTTTGCTTAGGATCACAAAATTCACAACTTTACTTAAGCGTAGATTTATAATTTGAAACTGCATCCATTTAAAACTGGATAAATAATAATATGGCAACACCTCTTTTGAGGCAAACAGACACTTTAATCTAACATACTGAAACCTAGGATCCATGCTTACAATAAGCTTAGATATTTAAACCAAATTGACCCCACATAATAGTTTTCTGTTGAATCAATGATTTGATCATAGTAAAGTGTGAATGGTATACTTCAACATTATCTCTGGAGGGAAGACAGGCAATGAGTTTCACACACTGTGACTGTGAGGGGGGAATAATAGATCCAAGGTCTAAGGCATAGCAAGTGAACACTTAACCTCACAATCCCTAGTAACACAAAGACTCTGTGAAGAGAACTATATGAGATTCTACCCTGACTGGTGACTTACCATGAGCAGCGCTGAGTAGATCGTTGACATCGATGCTTGAGGGAAGCTATGGAGCCGGTGGGGAACAGAGCGGAGTACAGTTTGAGGAACGCATGCTAACTTGTCCTGCAGTAGGTTCTGGTCCATGTTCAACATCGAAGATCTCCACCCATCCGATGTCAGGAACATGCAATAATGTGTTGGATAACAATAACAACAACAAAAAACAATAATAACAGTTGTATATTTATAATCTGCCAAATCCCGCACCTAAAACTTTGGCCAAAGTCTCAGTCAATGTATATCGGTGAGGAATCTATTCCCAGCTCCCTGGGGTACATACAACCCAGCATGATGACCTTGTTTAACGAGGCCCCAGGGCTCCAGATAGCTTTAGGGAGGTGTGGGGTACCCACCTCCCTATTACCAAGAGGAGGTACTGAGAATTTGGAAGGGAGTACTTGTACATGTGTGAGTGAGTTGGTGATGTGGTTTGTTATTTATAATATTAAACAACCTTTTCAGCTATTAAACTTCATACATGTTAGATTACAAAGGTGTTTATGTGGTACATGATACTAACCCAAATCACTTATATTATGTTGTACTGCATTGATTTTTGAATGCGCCTGTCGCCCTTATCCTAACCAACGATAATTCACTATAACCTTCGCACACTTGAAGCATATGAACCTGTAAAACCGGCAGTAAATCTAGATAGTTACATCATAAGGTCTTAATCATGCCAGTGCGTGGCACCTATACCTGAAGCAAAGGTGTAGGCAGATATGGAAGTGTTAAGCTATGGCAACATTCACATGATCTTATGTAATGAGGTCAGCTAGGAAGGTTCTTCCATCTTCAACACACTGGCTGCAATACTACGAGACTTGCCTGGTATACGACATCCCGAAGTCTCACGGCAATAGAAGTGAGGCAGCACCATTTTACTGGACAACTGGGTGACATGGAGTACATGCAAACAATGAACAGTTTACGTTACTGTTTGGAAAAACATGGGTGTGCGCTGGACAAAGCTAGAATCAGAAAACAGGGATTAGAATGCCTGAACAAGGTGTAGCTCTTGCAAGTTGCACTCTGCCTCAGAATGCTGTTCCCTGTGCTCATTACACTGTGCAAACTAAAACATGCCCAGAAGGTGAGGTGAGGGTGATAGTGGGTTTCCTGCGTGAGTGGCCTGAGAATGGCCCCGGCTCATATGGCGGCGTGCATGCGGTGTGTATGTACTTTCGTTGCTTGTACTAGCCCAGACCCAAGCTGGTTTTATAGTGCTAGCCCACTGGGGTCACCATGCATGAGTGAAGCCGGACGTTATACTGACTCCGGCGCATCAGTCCTTATTTATACCCGTTAATGCCGAAAGCACCGAAGGCAGGGACCAACAAATAGCTCATTTTAACGTCTTTTGGTATGATGTGGTCGGGGATCGAACCGTGACCTTCCAGCTCTCGGTGGATGCTCTAACTGCTGGCTACACCGTGGAGGTGGTCATACCCTGAAGGATTTCCAGCAGCATGTGTTTGAAAAGTAACATACTTTTATACCATAAGAGCTGAATACAAGCAGGTTAAGCGTGATCTCCACACCAAGGCACAGTGACGCTGTAAAACAGAAGTGACAGATCCCATCTAAATGTCAGTGATTTCTGTTCCTACAGATCAATCCTTTAAAAAATACAACATCATCGTTACCATCCGGAAGGCGACAGATGGTGAAGAAATGCTGCAGACTGGCCAGCCATGTCTTCAGGGGAAGTCTTAGCTGTCAGCGGGCGATCTTGTCCAGCTGCAGTCTAAACAAACAAACATGGCCATTCAATACCTCGACCTAGCTAATCATTCAATACCTCAACCCTAGCTAATCATTCAATACTTCCCACATAGCTCATCATTCAAAACCTCAACCCTAGCTAATCATTCAATACCTTCTGACCTAGCTAATCATTCAATACCTCCACATAGCTAATCATTCAAAACCTCGACCTAGCTAGTCAGATAATAAATGCAATTTTGATGATCATAACCTTGTCTACACCACATTGCCACTTTGGCTACTAAACGCATTCTTATTCAGTAATGTTTCAAATAATAAAAAATGCATCTATAACCGTATATGCTGAACAAAATATTTCCAGAGTGTTCCTTAATGAAACCTTCACATTAGTAATGTAGCCAACATGGATGCTGGTGTTATAAAACAAACCTGTGTCTCAGGGCAATGTCTCCATAGCGGCGGAATGAGCTGGTGTCTGGTGCAATAGGCCAGAAGTGATGGTGGAAGTGTTGGAGGTGTGTGTTGATCCAGGTGCTGTAGAGGTGGGGAACCACAACACCCTCCCACTTTTGACAGGTGCTTCATTAAATGGAATGTCAGACAGTATCTCACTCCCCAAAAATAACTTTCCTGCTCAATTAAAAAAAATAAGATCTCCACAAAGATCATTCCTAATAAAACATTTTCTCGGTAAAATACACAAACATCACTTAAATTAAAACTTTGCGAAGGTGACTATAAAGACACAAATATCACCTAAAATAAACTTTTCCTTTAAGTAAGTTGATTCCCGAATCCCTTCGAAATAACAGGTACCCATGAGCAAAGACACCAGAACAATCTTTTCGATGCAATTCACGGGCCTGAGGCAGAAAATAATATTTCACTTGGCTCCCACATGGCAGCAATGACCCATATCATTATCACAATCTAATATCATCATAGGGAATTTCGAAGTGAGCTGTTCCCGATGGTTGCGAATATGACACACTTCTGGTACTTATTTCCCTGTTGTAAGCATTCTGTTGTGTTCAGTGAACATGTCTGAAAAACCCAGAAGTTACCAGGAAGAAGCTGTTGTTAGAATTCACTGCGTTTTTATGGTATGACCAGAAATTATTGAGAATTTTAGGAATATGTTTAATTGGTTTCTATTATAAACAACCTTGATTAGCTATCAAGTCCTGGGTTTCATTCAAGAAAGACAACTCCATTGCTAATACTTTTTCATTGGTTTGTGAAAAAGTTATTACCTTTGTTTACTTGGCAGACGACATTTTCAGTGATCCTCGCATGGATGATTTAGAGAAGAGGAAGTTGATTTTAGGATATTATAACAAGGACATCAAGATCAATGAAGTGATTTCAAGTAGAACAGGCATCCCTTTTGTCCACTGTTTATAGTGTTTTTGAAAAATATTGCAAAATGGATATGGCGGTGAGCAGCAGGGAGGCGCAGGTAGGCGAGAAAATTGACAGAGACAATAAGAACTGAGTTGCATGCAATGGGTTGGCAGAAAAGTCGAGGAATTCCATCACCCGATCATGAAACCTGGAACAAAAGGAGCCGGTTATTGAACTGTGGTGCTTACAGCATAGAGCTTTTAACTGGGACAATGTGATTTTCTCCAGATGGAAGTTCTTGTGTGGCTGCTTCAATACATTGGAAATTGGACCAAATGAACGAAAAACCTTTTGTATCACCGCCCTAAAGGCTGCAGTCCGAAATTTAGGTCGCGAGGGTGGCATATCTGTGTTAGGGGCAGCGCCCTCTGTGTATTGAAGGGAATATGAACAGTGAAGCGTTTTTTTACAGATATTCTCGAGGGACATTTGCATATGCTGCTCCGTGTTCTATGGAATTTTGGATTTTACAGAAGGACAATGACCCAAAACATCGTTCAACATCACAGGCCTGGTTTTGGGACCCAAAATATGACATTAATTGATTGGCTAGCCTGACCTAAATCCAATAGAAAATGTTTGGGGGACTGTAATGAAGGAAGTGTCAATAAGAGAATACGTGAAATGTGCTGTGAAATGAGAAAGAAATTGGTCTGATATTGGGTTGACTTTCTAACTTTGATCAGTAGTATGCCCGCCGCATTGAAGCCTGCATTACCTTGATGACTTGACAAAATACAACTGTTCCTGCTTTGAATCAGGTTCTGCTAATATTACATTTATCATTGGTAATGAGTGAAAAATTAACGGAGTACGATAAAGATTCTCAATAATTTCTGGTTGTGCTGGCATATGTCAAAATCGGTTTCTATTAGCAGGATATTTGTTTCTGTCTATTCAGGTGAAGCTAATTGTTTGGAATGATGCCCTTAGCATCGGTATTTTAATAATTTTATATTCTCACTTGTCTACTGTCAATTGTTTTCCGCCACATGCATTAGCGCCCGCCAAAGAGGCATTGCAGAGGTCAAGGTCACTGTAAAGGTCAATGATGCGGGCGTTGCTACAGCAACATCTTCAGTGACCTCTCTGATCATGGTCCAAGTAAGGTCGAGGTGCATCGTCATGGCGATTAGCTCAAGAATGCTTCCGCAGATGGATGGAGCTGGTTAATGGCGCGGCGGTTGTTGGACATTACCAATGAGCAATCGTAGAAAGATAAGTTGAAGCGTCTATTTTCAGATTTTCCATTCGATTTGGTTGTTGCAGATAAATATAAAGCTTGCAGAATTCTCTGTAGTTTTTGTTTAGAAGCTCAATATAAATTATGAAACTTTCACCTGCTTAACTTTCTACTTGTGCTATGGGCCTGGCCTTCAGTTTCGAATAAGATTGATTGATTACTTTAAAGTGATTACTAATATATAAACCATTATGACATCATATGTCTGGAGTATACTTGATGTTATTACACAATGTGTAATAACATTGTGGAATTAAACATTGTTATCTTCCAGCGGGTGGTAATAATTCTTTATATCTATAACTCCTCATGTAAAAACATGTGATATTCATATGAGCAGTATCAACAATAAGAATGGCGTTTTAACCATAACACAGAAACAAGATGATCTAAAGTCGATGCAGCACAACAATGCAGCACTGAATGCATTTCCATCACGAGAAAGTGAAGTTTGGAGTTCAATTGTTCATTTTGGTTTGTAAGGTGAGGTGAAATTGGGTTTTAGCGTCGTAGCGAGAATGTTTTATTTAACATGATGGCGATGCATGCGTGTGTATGTGCTAATATGCGGCTGCTGTACTAAGCCCAGGCCAGCTGGAACATGATGCTTTAGCCCACTGGGAATACCATACGCGGTGAAGCATGAATACCCCTCAGACACATTATGACTCCGGGCGACCGGTCCTTGTTGTACCCATTAATGCGA